GCCAACCCAAATGACTCAAGGTATCGATGGTCCCCGTCGTTCAACCAGAAACCGCACATTTTCCCAATCCAGTTCAGAGTACTTCGAAAGTGAAAAGTCTGTGATGGATGAGGACGACCACCCACCAGTATCTGCGGAATCACCAGAGTCTCCTCCCCCTGCTACCTTCGTCAAGTCCCAGAGAGGTCGCACAGTCAAGCTAGCCCAGTATCGCGAGTCGAGCGATGACGAGCTCAACAAGATATTTCGAGATGATGAAGATGTCGAACTCGTCAATTCTCATATTGACGCGATGGACGGTGATGATGAAGATGATGATCAGCCACGTCGAAAAACGCGCTCTTCCAGTAAACGTAGTTCCATCAATGATGACACGACAAGCAGCCGTCGTGTCCTTCGCAATAGGAACAAGAATCCCCCTCCTCCTCCTACAACTTCTAGTGGACGCGTCACTCGTCAACCCAAGCGCTATGAGCCTAGTAACAACCCTGCCAAGAGATTAACGCGTGCTCAAAGTAAAGCTGCTGCTGAAATGGATGATGGCTATATCGACGAGCCATCGGACGGCTCAGCTGATGCAGATGGCTCCCTTGATGACGCACCACGCACATCCTCAGATAACGACCTCGATGCCGAAGGCGAGGTGGATTTGGATGGCGAGGTCGACCATGGAGATATGCAGGACAATGGCCGACCGTATTCACTACGACAGCGTGTCCCAATCAATTATGCTATCCCACCAGCGCTGGAGGAGATGAAACAAGCCAAACCGCGTCCGGCTGGCGGGCGAGGTGGCGGCAATCGAAGGCGTGGACCAGGGTGGAGTGCTTCTGGTGCTGAACTGAGCAGATGGATGGGCATGGCCCCAGCCGATGACTCGGTGCGTCATCATACCTGTTTGTCACATGTAGCAGTCAGCTGACGCACGTTCATGCCAGGATTCCGACTTCCCAACTCGAACACCCCGTAAACCTTTTGGAGGTGCCGGTGTTTTTGGTGCCGGAGGCCCTGTTTCGGCAGGTGGTGCTGGTTTACTACCAGGCGACCTTGCTGCCGCGGCTGGCACCCCTTCAAACTTGGGTAAAATTGGCGATGCAGGTGATTGCCGTAGTAGCTTGAAAATCATCTCCAGCTTATCTGTTCGCAGCATTGGCTGATGCAGACCCATTGGGAGTCAACACCAATGTCACTTTCGATGAAGTTGGTGGCTTGGATGATCGTGCGTGTTCTTCCATTCCGTTGCCATACTTTCTTGACCTCCTGTCTACAGACATACATTCTCTGAAGGAAATGACACTCCTTCCACTATTGTACCCAGAAGTCTTCCAGCGATTCAATCTGACGCCTCCTCGTGGAGTGCTATTCCACGGTCCTCCTGGTACGGGAAAAACCCTCCTCGCCCGTGCTCTGGCCGCGAGCTGTCGCGCTAATGGCAAGGGAGTTTGTAAGTTACACTCTTTTTCGTCCGGATATCACTTCTCATGATCTGCTAGCCTTCTTCATGCGCAAGGGTGCCGACTGCCTGTCAAAATGGGTTGGTGAGGCTGAACGCCAACTTCGACTTCTGTTCGAGGAAGCACGCAATTGCCAACCGAGTATCATTTTCTTTGATGAAATTGATGGATTAGCACCCGTCCGGTCATCGAAGCAGGACCAGATCCACGCTTCGATTGTTTCAACGCTTCTAGCGCTGATGGACGGTATGGACGGACGTGGCCAGGTGATTGTCATAGGCGCCACCAACCGTCCAGATGCCATCGACCCTGCTTTACGAAGACCTGGTCGATTTGACAGAGAATTTTATTTTCCTCTTCCATCTCTCGAGGCTCGTGAACGTATATTGACGATCATGACAAAGGACTGGGAGGGCTGGAAAGATGGAGAAGGTACTGAGAATATCAAGGGACTTGCAAAGTTCACCAAGGGCTATGGTGGTGCTGATCTTCGAGTATGCGATTTTACAGCCACACGCGCTGGCCATATACTCACTTATACTACAGGCCTTGTGCACCGAGGCGGCCTTGAACGCTATTCAGCGACGATATCCTCAGATATACCAGTCTAGTGACCGGCTACTCCTTAAGCCAGAGACCATCGGCGTGACATTCAGAGACTTTATGATCTCCATTAAAAGTACGTTTGTTTTTATGTAATACAGATAGTGTTAATCTGACATCTCATTTCTAGAGCTCGTCCCGTCATCTGCACGCTCGTCGTCCTCATCTGCTTCACCTCTTCCGACCCAGCTTGCACCTTTGCTTTCGGACACCTTAGAAAAGGTGAAAGATGCTATTAACAGGGTTCTTCCTGTTAGCAAGAAGCGTACTGCTTTGGAAGAAGCTATGTGGGAAGAGGATAGTGAGACAAATGCCCTTGACAGGGAACTGTTCATCCAATGTGAGTGCTGGCTGCTGGCTGGTCGATGGAGTTGTTGATTGTTCCATAGCTATGGAGACATTAAGGGTCTATCGACCACGACTGGTGCTCCATGGGCCTGCTGGTATGGGACAAGGTTATTTAGGAGCTGCGGCTCTACATCACTTGGAGGGATATCATGTTCAGACTCTCGATCTGGGAACACTTATGGGAGACTCAACACGAGTAAGCCTGCCTCATCCTCCTGATGAATCTGTGCTCTTGATGGTTTTATCAGACTGTAGAAGCTGCCGTGGTCCAACTATTCGTCGAGGCTAAAAGACATCAGCCCTCGGTTATTTACCTTCCTTCCCTCGATGGGTGGTCAGCAGCGGTTTCCGAGACTGCACGATCCACTGTCAGATCCATGCTTGATTCGCTTGCGCCTACGGATCCCGTCCTCGTACTTGCTATTGTAGATGGTCCATTTTCCTCATTACCCCGTGACGTCCGTTTATGGTTCGGTATGATCCGCGAGAATCGCCTCACACTACCAAGTCCCACTGAAGCTCAGCGGGACGCCTTCTTTTCGAGTATTATCGCTGACATCCGTCGACCGCCGAATCAGTTCGCAGATGGTATCAAACGCCGAAAACGAATTCTTGAGGAACTACCGATTGCGCCTCCGCTTGAGCCCCGTCAACCGACGGCTGCTGAACTTGCTGTTCAGGAAGAGAATGATCAACGTGTCATCACATTACTGAAGTATCGTCTCGGCCCTATACTAACAGAGCTGAAACGCAAGTTCAAACGATTTACCAAGAAGGCTAGGGTGAGTGTGATTATTGCGACTGCTGCGCACTCACCGATATTCTGTTATAGGAGGAGTATGACTTCGATCCAATTCCTGCGGTTAATGAAGTGGAAATTACTGCCATCACTACTGTCACCATACAAGCCGAAAACGACGTCATCGACGTCTGTGAGCAAGTCACCCAGGAGCAGCCAAATGGCATCGTTAATGGCGTCCCCCCTGATCCTCAGCCAACCGAACATCCAGAACCTCCACAACCACAAGAACCACGGCTATTTGACATGGACCTCGAGAGGATGCACATTGACCTGTACAAGGGCAAGTACCTCACTCCACAGGATTTCCTGGAGGACATCAACAAGATCGTTTTCAACGCCGCGGCACGCTCACATCAGGATCCTACTGGTGACAGGCTGTATAGGGCACAAGCTATGCTGACTGCTGCCGAAGTGAACATCCAAGATTTCGATGCTCAGTTTAAGCACGAGTGTCAACGGATGGCTGAGCGGGAGCGGAAGAGAAGGGAGGAGCACAAGAAAGCGAAAGAGAAGAGCAGGGTCGGAGAGGACACTCAGAACGGCGCAACAGCGCCTCGCAGGAGTGCTCGCCAAAATGGCCAGCAGCTGGATATCACTATCACGGATCCGTCACAATTGGAAAGGCGACTGAAAAGGGCACGTTCTGCTGAGCGTCACAGTGGTTCCCCTGTATCAGGTGACGATAAAGCAGAAGCACCTAGCACTCCTCGGAACTCGAAACGTCAGCGGACGATAACGAGCGATGATGACCACGACCCGATGGACATAATTGGTGCATCTCGCGCTCAGAATAGATCTTCAGCTGTGCGTTTTGCAAATGACGTTCAGCCGCCTCCTGAAAACGACGTGTTGCCCGTTTTTGATGCACCTGTTGCTATCAACGGTTTGTCAAATTCAAGTGCGATGGCTGTCGACTCTCCTTCCCCGCGGAAACCGGCTGGCTTTGACCCTATGCTTTTAAATCCTATGTCTCCTGACGGCGGGTTCCCAGCAACCTCGATGTCACACCTCCTCAATGGTGCAGGACCGTCGACAATGCCCGCGCAAGATGGATGTACCCCTCCTCTTCCTTCGTTGTCCCCAGCAATCGGAGCCGTTCTTCTAAATCCATTGATGCCACCTCCCCGCACGCCCTCTCCACTAGCCACTCGGACATTAACCCCCGCTGCTGATGTTATACAAGAGCAACCCATGGTGGTTGTACCCCCAGTCGAAATAGAAAGAACCCTAACTCCTTTGCCAGACTTCCACGTCGATGAAGATCTACTTTCGACTCTTCAGCATGATTTATGCTCCAGAACCGCGCAGCTATCCGTTGAGCTTCTCGAACAGCTTCGTGCAGCAGTGCTCGGGAGCATCTGGAGACACCGTACTGACTGGGATCGTGATGAGCTCATAAGAGAGATTCAAGACACACTGAAGGAGTTTTTGGATGACTTTACTGCTGGGGGTGATGGTCCTGACTCGCCTTGAGGTTGGCGGTGTGTTGAGATGTGGTAGATTATTGTTTTTATTTCGCAGCTCTATGTATCTTATCATTGTTACTACTTGTAGCGTTTGCAATATTGACATCGCCTCTCGCGTGAAATCGAGATAGTATTCTGATCCGTCTTGAGTAGAGCTTGACTTTGACCTACAAAAATTGCGGTCTGGCCTAACTTGTCACCTATCGACCAAAGTCTTTGATTTTGTGCATGTAGCTTGCCTCTGGGCGAGTTGAACTTCCTTCCCCTATTTATTTGGATATGCATGTTACCAGCAGTCGTTCTAAGAAATTCGCATTCACTGCCTTCGAAACTTCATTTTGAAAGTTACTCTTGTGTTGCTTTTGTATCAAGATCAAGTGTCACTAATGGATTTCTGGCCAAGCGACATGACGCTGCAGAATCACTGGACTTGCAAATATGATTATGAAGAAAATACAGGAAAGGCAACGATTACGAAAACCACGGGGTTAAATTTTAAGCAGGTCGGAATAAAACTAATAACGGCGACCGCCACGAGTCCCTCCCCCAGGTCCCTGGTATGGTCCATAATCCGGAGGTGGACGACCACCACCTGCACCTGTGTATAAATTAGAAGATTTGACCACTTGAATTAATCAGTATACGCACTAGTGCGGACAGGAGGAGGCACCGGTGGAAGTGGCGTAGGTGGTGGGGTAGCACGTCTGGTAGCACTAGGAATCACAGCATTGCGTAACAACATCATCAGGTCATCAGTTCGGAATACGGGGCCTAGAACGAGTCTCGCATCAGGAATTCCTCAGAGTTTAGAAATAGAACGACGCACCATCAAAAGAAGCTGGACTAGGTAGTTGTCCGACAAACCACGAAATCACAGTGGGTAAAGTAGACGCCTTGTCATCTTCGCGGTCCTTTTTAACATGTTGCAGTTCTCTGTCTCGCTCTCTTTCCCAGCCTGCGGGGCTTCCAAATCGCCTTCTAGGGGGACCCTCCCATCTTTCTCGGTCACGGTCACGAGGCGGAGGAGGAGATGATGGCCTCTGCCGCTTGCTAGGGGGGCCAAAGTCAGGTCTCGCAGATCCCTCGCGTCTCTTGTAGTCCGGAGATGAGGTTCTCTTTACGGGTGGCTGACTGGTTGGCATATGCGAAGCTGAAGTCAAGGAAAACAAAGAGTCTGTTCGCTTTTCAATGGAATTCAAGGTGCTAGTTGAACCCAACGCGGCAGGCTGACGAGCTGCCATGGCAAACCCAAGATCCCGTGCTGCAATGGCATCAGTTCCCAGATACGTATGTCGTTGAGCAAACCGTTTGATGGGAGGATCTTGAGAGAACTGTGAGCTCCACATCCTAAATGAGGTATCCTCGCACGTACCCGAGGGATATACTTCAGCTATTCTCTTTTCAAGTTTCTGTGCTGCCTCAAGATCACCATACTGGTACTCATAACGAGCCCACCTTTCCCAAAGGGGACGAGCGCGTTCAGGCGAAAAAGCTGTAATAACCCGTTCAAAAAGAGCTCGAGCATCTGGGTGAGAAAATGGTAAGTGGGTGAACAGCACGTAAAGAAAATGGAACCCAACTGTTCTCGTCGTTCACGGATATCAAAAATCCGAGATATCTCAGAACAAACTCAATCTCGTCACCGTAAGTTTCCAAACCTTTCTCAAATATACGCGATGCCACGCCAGTACCACCATCCTTGTTGCAATGGTACTCCATTAGAGCTGAAGAGGGGCCATCATTATCTGCAGCTCTAACTCTCGGGCCTTCAACGTACCAGCGGCTTCATACACCTCCCATGGCGTCCATCGGTCACGCCTAGCTTTCGCAAAAACTGAACGGAAAGCCTTGAGGTCGAGAGCACGTCGTGCAAACCGAATATACATGATCCAAACAACACCATATTCTTGTCTTCGGTCGGAGAGCTCTTTGACTTTTGGAGGCTTCTCATCGGAAGCCTGAGTGGCAAAGGACGAATTGTTGGAGATCGTTCCCGCTTCTAATGACCCTGAACCATTTCCAGCTGGAGCACCCGTATGCACGACACGACCAGAGCCATCAGACGTAAAAGACGAGTTGGCGGAATTAACACGATTTTCGAGCTCATCCAACTCAGCACGCAAGACGTCAAGGAACTTGTCGAACGTCGCAGTGACCTCAGCGTGTTCCTTGCGGGACTCTTGCAGCTCACAGTATGCAAAATGGAGGAGGAAGCTTGTAGGATTGGCCTCCATGCCAGACTTGAGAATATTCAGCGCCTCTTCTGGCTTACCCATGCTGTTTGTCCACACGAAAGCCATATACCTGTACAGACCATGAGCTATCCATGACAAAGTTAAAATTGGAGACAAACCATATTTCCGCATAAAACCTCATTCGTATAGCAGCTTTGCGATACACACCCTGTATACGTGAAATAAGAGTTGCTTTATCCTTGTCCTCAAACTCGAGTGGGTTGCTTTCTTCCCACTTCAAGTAAGTTTTCCAAGCCCCGACAAGTGCCCTTTCAGCCGCATTGAACGTAGGAGTAGGAGGGAGATATAGGTGTGGTCGTGTCGACGAAGAAGCTGGCGGCGGAGGGAACAGTGGTCCTAGGTGCCGTTGGAGCTGACGAAGCACTGTACGAGCTTGCATGTATGATGGGGATAGATCTGACATGAACTTCTTGGCCTGTACCACTGTTAGCATTACACCGTGTCACATCAACAAAGTCAATCACCGTTATCTTGTTGAGGCTATTTTCGAAAGTCTCCAATTCTGACCAGAGCCTCTCGACATTTTCAAGAGGGATTTGAACCGCACGATGGTAAACTTTGCGCAGGGAGTCCATCTTTTGCTGTTCCTCCCATGTTGTGGTTGTCTGTCACGGGCGTTAGTAGTGTGCTGAAAGTGGCAGGAGGATGACAAACCTCTCCGGCCTTCAGGAACTGGATATAATCACCCCAGATGTCCCCACTATCTTTGTCTTGGCCTATACGGCTCAAAGCAAACTCATACGCTTTGCTGACAGCTTCGCGACTGGCCGGTGATGTATTGACTCGCCTGGGCAAGTAGTTCAATGCATCTGGATTATAGTGCACATATCACACTGACCTGACGTAGGTAAGATAGAATTTCCAGAGGTCAACTAGAGGAGAAGATCTCAGGAATCTTCTGAAGAGTTCTTCGGCGTAAGGAAAAAGACCGGGACTCAAGAAATGATTGAGATAGGCAATTTGAGCGGACGACTTGGTATTCGTGATACATGTTAAGGACTGTAGAGTGCAAGGCTGGAAGGTGCATACCGTGTTGGGATAGACTTCAAGCAAAGCTTCATAGGTCTGTTTTATTTGTTCAATTTCACCGCGCGTCTCGGCGAGGTCGACAAGTTTGTTCCAGCCGTCTGGATCATGAGGTTGCTCACGCAGCTTCTCGCGCAGAACATGCCATTCAGACGGAGCTTCTTGACTCGGTGTATCTTGCTTGACATTGCCTTGCTGAGCTGGGGATTGTTCGTGTCCGTTTTGAGCGGTTGTCTGGTTGAGAGCGTTCAGAGCATTCAGAATCTCTTCGGTTGGCTGAGTCTTGTCTCCAATATACTCGGTGTCGTTCGTTGCGATTTCCGTTGGTGTTTCGATATTGACTATACTGTCCTGTTGTTCCTCAGACATGTCCGTCATAAAAACGGAAGAAAAAGAACGGTTTGGAGGAGAGTTCATCATACACAACAACCCCACGGCTATTTCCCACGCTCTTCTTATTCAATCATCGACATCAACTACCACTGCCGGCTTGAATTCGTGAGCGTCATGCCTCTGCGAGGAACTGGACATGGAAAACTTGTTGGCGACGAGGCACCCTACTTTGAGTCTCTGGCCGAGCTTGATCAATGGGCTAGTCTCCCTCACGCAAAGTTGATGGCTGTCTTGGAGTATCAGGCCCGTCCTCAGCTTGCAGAATCACTGAATCAGAGAGGGAAGCTTTTGGTGAAGAACAAAAACTCATGATCTTCCACGATACCCCACTAATTCGCCTATCAAAGGTGTGCCACGATTATAAAGTGAGTAGGTGACTCGGTCAATTTATGTCATATCAGTCACTGTAGCCGTAATGAAATGACTCAGTCTTCCATTCCACGTAGGGAGGGTATACAGAATCTCCTTCTGGCCTGTGCTATACATTCAATTTTTGGCCTCTATGTGACACATTCGTGTAGTACGTTGACCTAATTGATTAGCTTATCACACCTCATCGCTTGCGGCAGCTTCTCGCATCACAGAGTTACTGTTCCTCCATCAGGATGGATCACTGCTGGACATCGGCAAGGGGTTAAGATGCTCGGAACAATGTAGGCTCTACGAATCACTGTTAGATAACCCGCACTTCACTTATCCCATTTCAGAATATTTGAGGGATCTGGAGAAGCTGACTGCCTCCAGCTGATAGTTGGACCTCCTCAAGCAGGCGCAGGCCCGACTTTACGTACAGATTCGATCCCCATATCAAGACACTATGCCTCGGTTTTGGCGGAGCTTGCTCGTCAGCGCGGGTTTGATGGGTATCTCCTGAATTTTGAATGTCCGCTTCAAGGGGGCCCGGAACAAGCTCGGGCGCTTGCTGGGTGGATTTTACTTTTGAGATCCGAGCTCGTAACCAAAGTTGGTCCTCATGCCCAAGCTATTTGGTGAGGCCAAGGCGGATCAGAAGTCTATCACAAATGTTCCTGACTCGGTTAAAATCATAGGTACGACAGCGTGGTATTCAACGGCCAACTGAGGTGGCAGGATCGACTGAACAGTCTGAATTTGCCATTTTTCCTCTCGTCTGATGCATTCTTCACGAATTACACTGTGAGTGTGTGTTCACATTCGTCGTCTTTATCTCAAGCGTATCACACAAGTGGCCACCATCTTTTCCAGCTCTCACTGCCCAGTATTTCATGAGCTTGGATCCAGTACTCATCAATGATGATGCGAAGGGGCCATCTATCTCCACCAAATCTCTTCAAAGCATCTTTACAGGTGTTGATGTCTGGGGCCGAGGATCGCACGGTGGAGGAGGATTCGGTTCCTACAGGGCCATGACACATATCGATCCCCAATCACTCGGCCTGAGTGTCGCCCTTTTCGGGCAAGCGTGGACATGGGAGAGTGAACAAGATAAGCCAGGATGGAACTGGGATCAATGGTGGGAATATGAGCGCAAGTTATGGATCGGTCCCGCAGACCCTCAAGAGGTGGTCCCCGTGCCTGATGCTCCCAGACGTCGTGGAGAGCCTGAGTGTCCTCACGATGCGTTCGAGCCAGTGTCGTCATTCTTTGTACATGCCACCCCTCCTGACCCCGCTCAGCTGGTCTTTTGCACGTCGTTCTCGCCAGGAGTTGGGCGTTCGTGGTTTGTCGAAGGCATGAATGTTCTTCAGACAGAGGACGGTTGGACTGATATCGACAAACAAAGTTCCCTTGGGAATTTAGTGTGGCCACGACCATCTGTGATGTGGGAAAACGATGATCGCCCAGAACCACTCCCTTTAGCGTCATCCAAGTTGGACATGAGCGACGCATGGAATGGAGGGAACACCCTTAAAATTTCCATTTCTTGCGCTGGCAGTACGGCTGATGATGCATTTTTCCGGTGTATCTGGCTCCCTGTGCAGTCGTTGAATGTGACTTCCCTTGTGTCATATGACGTTAACATCGTTTACAAAACTGCCGCCTGTGAGGGGACCGACCTTGACCTTGGACTTTTCGTGAAGCCATTGATGGCGGGTGGCGGAGATCTCCCAAAAGTCAATGTCGGGGCATCTACCCAATCTTATATTAACGGTTGGACCAGACAAGTCCTTAGCTTCTCACTCCCCCCCGGCACAGCTGATACGTTTATTGTTGTTGGCTTGATCATCGGTTTTGTCGCCGAAGATCCATCTCAGCCACTTGATTTTTCAGTCTCGTTGGGTCAACTTGCTGTATATCCATCTTCTCCCGCCGCCCGCGTCTCTAAGGGAATCCCCGGGATTCTGTGGGCTAAATTCCAAAGCACCAAGCCCCTCACCTCCCCTTCAACCAGTTTCAGTGGGCTTCTCACCTGGGACATCGCATCATCTTTTCCACGTCTAGCGTTACGGATGATACCCCCACCAGAAGACTCGAATCCTATATGGATTCTGGACAGTACCAAAGAACGATTCCCCTCATTTCTTTACTTCAATATCTACGTTATCCCGCACCCCCTCTTGGGAAGTATCGCGGGAGCCACGGCCGCGATATTCATTGGAACAACAGGCCTAGATGGGCGTGCTAACAGATTATATGTGGATTCAACGATTCTGCCGAAGAACGTGATGGACGGGAGAGGGTTACGCTTTTATGTGCAAGGAGTTTCTGACAAAGGCGATGTCCTGCCATGGGAGATGTGTGCATACGCGGATCGCATGTTTGAGCTCGGAGGCCGTTGATGGCCGTGCAGGACGCTGAGCACGTAAATACAGCTATGAGAGGGATTTGTTTGTTGGTTGTTATAAGAACGAGATGTTTCAAATGGGGTAGTGCGGCATACTGCACATTACACTACCTCATGTACGTGCCTAGTAGAACTTGTGTTTGTATTCATATCTATGATCAAGGGTCCGATGCGGTCGTCAAAATGTCCAGATCAAAATACATATAACCAAGAAGCCAAATTTCCTCTGTCAAGCTAGTCCAAAAATGTCAGCGGCTTGCTCAGCTGCGAGTATATAACACCCCCAGTCTTGCTTCCCTCCTTCACCCGGTTGATCTTCTGCTTTCTGTTTTGCCTTGCATGACCCATGCCAGATGCTGGAACGAGATATGTGGCGTTTACACACACGTCGCATTGTCATCCTAGCACTAACAGCCTCATGTCCATTCCGAGTCTGCCACCATGACTGGTGTTCTTGTCCTTCCACCCCGCCGCCCGTCACCGCATAGCATGCTCCGTATATACTTCCTCTATATCTTAGATGACTGAGGCTTTGTTTTCTCGATTGCACCCGGTTCGAGAATCTTCACAGGCATGTCTTGGGTGCGCCACATTCGTATACTCACACCTGACGTTCAGTACTTTGCCTTACTAGTAGGGAAACTCCAGCGTGCATCAAGACTCATTGTTTGAGGACATCGCGAAGAAGCCACTGAAAGACGCACTGCAACTGCTAACCATCAGTCGCGGCGGGATCTGCTTGGCGCTTCGCTGATGTGGCCATCAGGTATTCGATCATCTCTCCAATACTGCTCGCTTCTTCAACTGGCCAATCTCCCCAGTCTGGTCGCTGGCCCACAATTGTTCAGGCGCTCCGGCCCAACTTGACACTTTTGTTGCGCCATAACTTGAAGCTCGTGCGTAAGATGAGAAGATATTTTCCAATTTCATCTTTAGGCCCCACCATTGACAGCGTGCAATCATCAGGACATCGGCAGTTATTGCTGTCCACCTCGGGATTTTGTGGATGGCTCGGAATGTGAAACTTGGGTCCCCTGTTTAGAAACCCGAGGATGCCTAGTATCAGTAGCTCGGTCTACGAATCGACTGGAAGTTGCAGGTATATGGCTAACGTTCTACCCTGTTGACCCTCAGTCCGTCATCCGGGGTAGACATCATTAAGAATCCAGTCCCGCCCTCAAGAGCCGAGGTCATTAGCACGACACAGCGCACCCCGGCTGACCGATAATAAAAGACATGTCTTGGATAATTAGAGAATGAAGACGTGAGCAAGGTGAGCCGTCTTTGGTGCCTCGGATTTAAGGACCGACGTCTCAGCAACTGCGTGATGTCGTTCGATTGCAATGTGTTGATGGAACGAGGCCCAAGCACAAGAAACGCATCGCTGACATGATCCATGCGCCGTCTTCACTGGTCTGCCAGCATCCACAAAGGATTCATCTAGTCCAATTCAGGCCAAATCGCCTGCTGATTGCCCATATATCTACATGATACCATCTCTGGAATCGCGAGGGAAACAAACGTCAATGCAACATAAGATGTAATTAGTGACGATGAAACCCGCCGAAATGTGAAATACCAACGAGATGCCCAAGTCCAATACCAAACATAATGCATCGACCCACAATCCCACAACTCAAAGATCTTTCAGCATCTTCCCTATATCATCCTTTCCCTCGTCTATTGTCCAGAAGGTGGCCCACTCATCCTTCTCGTCCGTCACTTCCGACATCACATTTTCATCAGGCGTGCACTGTCCAAGGCTACTCAGGTATTTTTCCTTCATCTCCCGCTCCACGTGTTCTGCCTCCTTCATCTCCTTACTTCCTGTCCATATGGCATGTTTCAAGACATGTCGGACAGCGGCACGCATTACGAGATAGCCATGGGACGCAAACAGCGCGATCAACAGAGCGGACATCAAAAGTTCCCGGGTTGCAGCGAGACTAGGAAGTGGGTGATGGTTTAGATACTCCGACTCATCAGTCGCATTCGCAGCCATCATGGTCCCCAGCTCATTCTCTTGTTGATCAGGGGGACGGAAGAGGTATACCAGCGCAGAGTTCGTGAGAGCCGACAACCATGTTAGAAACGATAGAGACTCGAGCCACGGCCCTATCGTATCTGTTCGAACAGGTGTCGGTCGTCGGGTGTGCACCGCGATTTTAAACGCATCAGAGCGCGCTTCAATGTAGTTGTTGAAAAGTGCCATCGCCGGTGCAAGTGGCCATATTGTTGACCAAAGAGCGACGTAGCCAAACTGTGTCACCATCTCGCTGTAGTCCGTGAACACATCATACTCTGGCAGCACCACTTCGCTCCGAACGCGCTCGAGGAATTCGCGTTCCTCTCTACCGTGTGCATCATGCCCCACAGGTTCGTCGTCAAACGCCACCCGCTTTTTCTTCCCATGTCCCTTTCCATTACCATTCCGAAAACCTTTCCCATTACGGAACGACTCCACCGCACGGAGGATGTATGGCAAGCCAATAGCTGTGAAGGTATCCACCGCTTGGTTTGTGACCGAAAAGGCGAACATCTGATCCTGAAGCCTCGATGAATTCAACATGCGTCGCGCGCTTTTCCTATCCGACTCCCATAAATTGAGTCCGGCCGCACTGATTTTCTTTCCACCAGCTCCTCTAGCACCGAGATGAGAGGTGGCGTTGAAACTGACATTATATTTCTCCAGTAAGGCCAACGCACGATGACCACCTGTGAACAAGTAGGACTGGACAAAGTTCATGACACTTTCGCCGAAAGGGACGTAGACGAATGCGGACAGCGCAATGCCCAGATAAGCATTCATCGCCGAGAGTGTAAAGACCTTCAATGAAAGAGATGAACTATGATTCGATTGATGCTTGTGATTTTCCCAATCCGTGAAGTTCGTAGCGAGTTTCTGGTACATTGCCAGTAACCGAGGAACAAGGAGTGAGAAAAGTATCGTTGGAGCAAAAGCCTTGAAACAACGATGCTCAGAAAGGCAGTAAGCAGCAGGCATAAGTAAGCTTACCACATATGTGTGGCCGGGACCCTTGTAAAGCTGCGTCACAAAAGCTTCCAGGACGAATATGCCTGTCAACATAACCGCAAGGATAGTTGCAAAGAGTAGTATGACTGGTAGGCCAGCCATCATGCGCATCTCCTGTTTCCACCAGGGGAAGCTCGGGAGATAATCAGCCCTCCGCTTTTCCACGCGCCACGAGCCACGAATGCACCATCTGATTGACAGGATACGCTCTTGGAGTCTCCACCATTCGACGAACGCAATTGACCACAACAAGAGCAAAGTGGAGTAAGAAGCAGAGTAGGGTTTGCCCCAGAGATAATAGATAGTGCCAAGTGCTGCCGGAAATATCAAAGCCTGCGTGTATGCTGTGAGGAAAAAAAAGTAGAGCGCAACGGAATCTCCAAACTAGGACAACTTCGTCATAATGATGTATGCGGGACGAAACTAATTGAGACAAACCTGGTCTCGAATCTTTTCAAGCTCCACGCTCGCTATTCGGTGCCGTGTCCATAGGCGTATCCAGTGATCATTGAAGTCATGATCGTGAAGTGCCATTACGGACTCTACAAGATCCCACTCTTTGCGCCCTGGAATGATACCCAAACCTCCATCTTCGGGAGTGGAGGAAATGAATCCGTGGATCAAACGGATACGGTCGGCGGGGGATAGTGGGGCCGATTCAAAGTCGCTCGTGGACGGCAACTTAGACATTGGAAGACCATATAAGAAGTCCGAATGTCTGATATGCATAAGAAAATGGAGAGGGAAATCATTGTGAGACTCACCGTTCACAATGAATGAGTTTCGCAAGAACGTTTTGCGGGCAAGTCACCATCACGAGTAATTGGCCCTGGCTCTCTCCACGCCTCCCTACAGCTTTGAGGCCAGCTCGTGTGAGCGTATTAATGAGTTTAGAATACTGCCTTTCCGCCTTGACAGCATTCTGGCGCACTTGTTCTTTAGAAAAGCTGGCTGCCTTTTTCCGGATGGCGCAGAAGACTATGACTACGTCCACATGGGGAGGCATTTTGAGGGCACACAGTGGGCGCCCTGCCTACGGTTCGAGTTATATCGCGACCTCTGAGTATTGGTGTTTTGCAACCGAAGAACTGATAGTTAGAGAGATGTCTAGTTCGAGCATCTAACGGAATTATTTTACATCAGCAATGTGCCTCGTGTTGTTGTTATCTATTTGTAAGAGGGATTCGAGGAAGGATACCTCCCAAAGAATTCAAATTCATAAATGCTGATGCAGCAGGCACAAATAATTCATTCCATACGGCTTCTGAACATACTAAAAAGCGAAAATGACGAACTAAAGTACTGCCTATAAATGCATATGAAAGGTCCACCATCTTCATGCGTACACGGACCAGCTTTTGAATTGATAAGTTAGTTGCAATGCAAATCCAGCGATGTCATGAAAACTAGCGCGCGTAGGGATGGTAACTGTGCTGCCCTCGTTGTGCCGCACGTTGTGGGCCAACGCCAAGACCACCAGGACCACTCGGACCACCCTGTGCTCCTCGTGGACCACGTGGAACATTCGGACCTAGGCTGGCAGGCCCTGTAGGTGTACCACCACCCCCCATACCCTGACCCCCTCGCCCCATTCCACCACCACCCATTCCTGGTCCTCCACCCATACCACCTGCTATTGCGGGGCTTCCCATGCCACCTCTGCCCATGCCCATGCCTGCGCCTCCATAACCACCCATGCCACCCATCATGCTCGGGTTTATGCCCGGAGTCATGCCTGGATTCATACCCATACCCATACCTCCCATCATGCCACCTCCGCCTGCCATTTGGAACATGCGGGTGTACAAGGCGGCTAGAGCCTGGGGATCAAACGGAGTGTTGCCCGAGGGAGCCGCGGGCATAGCGTTAGCTGCCGCATTAAAATTCCCGCCCTTGTTGGTGTACTGTTGTTGTTGCTGACCGCCGTCTTCATTGAAGTTGTCGCGCTGATAACGCGGTTGCGCCAATTTCACATCAATCTTAAATAAAGTGCGTAAATGAATGAATCTACTTATAAACGTAGCACGTTCGTCACATACCAATTTCCCATCGATTTCTAGGTTCCCAAAACCGAGGAAGGGCTGGACATTTGTGTCTTCGAATGAAACAAATCCAAAGCCCTTGCTTCTCCCTGTCTCACGATCTAACATGACGGTCGAATCAATGACCTTGCCAAACTGCGAGAAGAAGTCTCGCATCGACTCGGACGTCACACTCCCCGCAAGACCGCCGATGAATAGTTTTGTAGCGCGTTGATGTTCTTGTCTAGGTATTGCTCTCTTTGGATCAATCTTGGATAACGGGTAAATAAACTCCAATGCTAGATACAACACTGTACGTACAATCTTGCCATCTAGGAAGTGCTCCCGCACCATCACCGCATTAACGCTCGCGGGGTCCTCAAAGGTCAAAAAGGCGAAGCATCTCGACCGGCCAGCAGCATCGCGCATGATCGTGCATGCATCTACTTTACCGAACTGGGAGAAGTAATTCCTGAGGGACTCTGCCGCGAACGACCTTATTTTAGTACTACCGAACGGTACAGAGCAAGTAATAATGATGTAAGTACCATCGGTTGTGTCCCAGTTAAGACCGCCAATGAACATCTTGCTATAGATAGTGTCGCACGCGCGAGGCAACATGGTCGAAGACACGAGGAATACGTTCGGACGTCGGTAATTGAGCGTAAGATATGAAAAGCAAGGCTCGTTATTAGTTTCTGTAGAGACAGGGGGTGTTATGACAGAGGAGAGAAGGGAAGACGCTACTGTCTGTTCGCGTTATGGCTAGCCTAGCTTAGACTGGACGTAGAGAACGCGAATATGCTAGAGCTAGACTAGTCGTCCTAGTCGACATAGCTGAGTAGCTAGCGTGACGACGACCGAGCAACTACGTCGGCATTATTGACCGTCAACGACTAAGATCCAGTATTTCCCAGCCAAAACGCATGACCCATTTTTATAGGAAGTTAGTAGAACTGTCCTATACAACTCACCCTTCATCCTTCATCTCTGAGGGCCGTACACTCCTCTCGTGGCTATGTTGGCGGTCATAACTACCCACACCTTCATGTTGGCCCAAGTCTGATGCATAGTCCGATTGAGGTTGCTGGTAAGTCGGAATTTGTTGTGTAGTCGGAGTACCATAGGCAGGAGGTCCAGATTGAGCATTAGTCGACGCGTATTCTTCATAAGTCTGTACTGGATAGGTTTCTGTTGCAGGTGCTCTGATGGCGGCGGCCGGCGCGACCGGTGAAGGCTGTTTTGATATTGTCGGCTGGGGAACCTTCACAGCGGAAGCAACAGGTGCTTGAGGGGGCGCTTCCGATAGAAGAGACTCTTCTGGTTTAGATTGGTCGCCGTTTTCTGCTGAAGTTGGAAATTCAGGCTCATCGTTGCCGTAGAGATCTAGAAAGGTGTTAGGTCAAAAACTAGACAGTTCGCAAGCGTTGAGAATATCTACCGCCATAAAGGTCAGCGTCGAGCTCAGACATGATGGTGGTTGCAGTGAGAGTGAAAAAGACCTCGGGTCTTAGTCATCGCGTCATCACTTATGCCTAAAAAAGTCCCACGCGCGGGCCGTCCGTCGGCCAACCGCCAATTTTTCTCCTCCTCAAAGAGCACATGTTCTAAATATTGACTCGATCCAAACTCGATCCGTATTATTCCGCTTGGAATCCGCATCAGTTTTTTCCGTGAGTTCTGTGACGTGCAAACCAATCGCTCCAGTGTCTCTCTTTCTCATCATGACCCACGTCCAGGTCAACAACAACGTTACCATCGGCATACTAGGTAAGTAAGGTATCGTGTGCTGGCATAGTATGTATTGTTTCATCTGGAAAATACAGCTCTTCAAGGAGCCTTTGCAGAACATCAGACTGCCCTGCAAAAGCTCTCATGCCAGAAGAAAATATTGGTTGTTCTTGTTCGGACTGCAGAAGATCTTTCAGCATGTGATGCTCTGATAATCCCCGGAGGGGGTGAGACAAACGTCATTTTACCTGAACTCACTCATATCATCCGATAGAGTCCACCACAATTGCATTCCTCGCCAAGCTCTCTGGGCTTTTAGAACCTTTACGGACGTTTCTGCAGAAGAAGCCCGTGTGGGGAACTTGTGCCGGGGCGATTCTTCTTGCACAGGCAGTCGAGAACACCAAAAGAGGTGGTCAAGAACTTTTCGGTGGAATATCAGTCACCATAGCTCGGAATGGTTGGGGTTCACAAGTATGGATGTCATGCTTTGCTATTTTTCGTTTGTTGACACCGTCTCGCCAAGGTCGAGTCTTTCGAGGCACCTCTCTCAATAGACGGTCTACTGGATCCAAGCACTCCTTTTATGGGTGTATTCATTCGTGCTCCTGTGCGTGTTTCGTGTTCATCCACATCGTCTTATTCATTGGACTTTCTTTGAAAAGGTTGTCTTAGCCTTACATCCATCCACCGAGAACCCACCAATAGAAGTCATCGCTCGCTTACCGATCAACCTTGTGCCAAAGTCACAGAAGCTGACATTACATGACGAAGGCGACTCCAGTCCACACGATTCACAAAGTATCGTTGCATTACGGCAGGGACGACATATGCTCACCACATTTCACCCGGAGCTCACAAAAGACAGTCGTTTTCATGAGTATTTTGTGCGGACTTGTGTTGTGCCTACCCTTCTGTGAAGCTGTGTATTATGACACTGCCGCTCACCGCTGTCATGGGTTGATATGCAATAGACTGGGCCTCATAAGGTCCTTAATTGGCGATATAGCGACGTTGGAAGCACACACTTGTTCTGAGGACAGCCAACAGAGAAAATACAAGCGAGAGCTGCAAGGGGCCCAAATAAATTTACACGGCGTGTTACTCTCGCGATGAGCTTGACAAAAGCTTTTGACTAGTCATTAACGTTTAACATCCAAGGCACAGTAGCACTACTATGAGGAAATGACGAGAATGGCACAGAATCTCTTGTACGTCTGAGTCTATGAATCAAATGGATCCCAGAAGCAAACGTCTATCAGTGTACAGCGAGGGGTGCGCTATCGAGAATAATACATTGCTCAGCGTTTCAAATGATCTGTCTGTCCAAATGGCTGGGTCGACCCTGGCGGATGGCCAACCGTTTCAAATTTGTCCTATGTCAATGAGATAGACAGTAAATACCCGGGTACGTGTATACAGGAGGATTCTAGTCCTGGAGGAAATATCGAGAATGAAAACTGCAGTAAGATTCCGCATACAGCTACAATATCTCTAGTGTCCTGACGTCCATCATGCCTTGAACAGAATCCACGTCTTTGACTTGTGCAATGATATCACGATCTGATGCGATTCTCTTGTATTCTCCACCGCGTTGCTGCGCTAGCAAGAATGCGCTAAACGGCTGTCCAAGACGAATAATCAATCGCATTGCACGCTCGATCGAATCTGAATCAACCGGGTACTGTTCTCTGGGCCAGGGTGACGGGAGAGTAAAATCATGCATGCTCTCTGTATCGTCTGCATAGTCAGGAAGCTGAAGACGACGATCCCAGGGACGGACGAGTAAGAACGACCGTCCGAGTCGAGCGGGTCTTCCTCGTGAGAACTGAAGCAATTTGTTCTCTGTGGTGATCTTCAGGTCACGAAGCCCGTCCGCCTTGACTTCATACGTGAAGTAGGTCTCTTCATATCTAATGAATTTCCGTCTAACTTCTGTGATAGGGAATGCGTTACATGGCAGATGCAGCCGGCGGTGAGCGAAACGTGGAGCGCTCAGGCGGTCGAGCGAGCTGTACAATTTCAGAGCTGACTCGACAGTCACAGTACCTTTCAGCGACGAGACCAATTTCGGCATCTCATCTTCAGATATGGATGGCAGCTTGTAGGGTGGGGCTTCGTATGAAGTGATGTCGGCAGGCAGACAGCTATTAAATTCGGATGATGTTCCAACCCAGTCCAGGGCAGTAATGTCCCCAGACTCAGCGACAATCTCCTGCAAGAGCCGGCCGAGTGCCTTTTGCTTCTTCTCACCGTACATGATAGGGAGCTGAACACCAAAGATTCCAAATAAGGAGTACGCAATGTCTTCCTCCAATGCGGTTACACGCGTCGACGCCCATTGCAGTTTTTCGCGGGCGTTTATCATGCCAGGACGGAAGGCGACAAGAGTTTGTGCATCTATCCCCGTCGCATCTTCCAACTCCTGCATGATCGCGACAGACTGCTTGTGATTGGGAGAGCGGTCATCGAGATACGGGGTCCAGTCACTTTGGTAGAAGCGGATGACCTTCGGGGCGAGGAATTCCGGTACGGTCCATCCTCGCGTGTTCCATGCGCTCTTTGCCAGTGCGCCCGGCTTCGACGAAGGCGGAACATCTGATAGGTAGACCATCGTGAGCGCTGAGGTGCGATACCATACGAACATGGAATTGAGCGATGTTTGAAGTTCGACGTTGTTAGCCTGGTCGATGCAACATGAATCAATCCACCCCCAGCGATACCCCGCAGCGCGAGCGGTTTTGCAGAAAGACTGCAATTTCATGATGCCGTCAACCGGATTCAACTCATCAACGACTTTGTCCTGGACGTCGTGCAGCAGTGGTTCTTTTCCTTCCCAACGATGGGATAGCGTGACACAACGGAAGTACGTCGCCACGACATCTTTGATGTGTTCCATTCGGAGATCTACGTGCATCAATTTTGATGACAAAATCTCCTTGTATTCTGTGCTCGCTATAAAGGCATCGATCTGTGCCTCTCGATCACATAGACGGCCAGTAAATGTATCGAGCAGACGATGCGGAGCGTCGTCGAGCTGAGCCTTGACAGTCTGTTGAATAGCCCCTTTCACTTCAGATGGATTGACGTATTGTTGGCGCAGCTCTGGAAAAACAGTCAAGCATGATTGAGGATGTGGTTATTCAGGCGTACTTTGTGTTTGCGTGTCAGGGGTATTTTCCAACTTGGAAAGCATGGTTTGGAACGCATCGATCGCTTCATCATATCGGTGTGCGCCATGAAGTACCGCATGCTTTAACTGATATCCAAAATAAGATGAGGGGTTGAGTTTGATGACCTGCGCATCACCAAAATGAACGTCTAATATGAAACAATGACTGTCATCGCACCTTTTCCACGTCAAGGAGTGCACCATCCCATAGCATTTCACCCGACCTCGCCTTACTGCGGTTCGCAAAGATGGTGTCGGTTGCAAAATCGAGGTCGATCGCTGCAGTGTAAAGCTCGATAGCCTTGTCGTAATCAGCCGCAGCAAGGGCATCATCTCCACCCGCAGTATAAAGCATGCCGCAATCTTGTGTGAAAGCTAAGTGATTTGAGGTTGAGAATTATACCGGGTTGACATCACGAAGACTTGCCAGTGGACCAATCAATGCAGAGTGCTTTCGTAGCCTCATCGGCCCTATCCATCATGTACCGATATGCTTCGATGGCTTCTGGAAGTCTACCTGCCCGAAGGAGCACATTGCATCGATTCTGATGTGCAGTTTGCCACAAGGACTTGAGGTCCCACCCGAATAACTAGAAAAAGCACAGTCAGGCGTGAAAAATGTCGAGTTGCATTGCAATCAACTTACCACCACGAAGATATCATATCTAGAATGGATGGCCGACATAGAAGGGAAACCGATGGTGTTCACGGCAGCAGTGAAGTGGTCAGCCGCTTCATTGTGACGTGCGTCATCTAATGCACTCATTCCCAATTGGACGTGTAGATAAGCCTGAAGTGCGAGATTCGCAAAATCAGCATCGACGCACGAATCTAGACTTGACTGTGTCAGGAGCACTCACTTCTACGATGCCACAGGCAAGAGAACTTGAATTGGGACGAGTAGTAGTTAACACTTGAACCCGCAGAATTGCCTCGTCACGTTGATTTGCATTGAAAAGGGCGATGGCCTGACAGCTGTCGTGTGAGTAGCGAGTACGTGAGACGCGATGAACATACCTTGATCAAAAGTAGAAGACGAGTTTTATTCAAGTCTGCGTCCACGTACATGGACGCGATATCAAACGCTTTCATCGCATCTTGGAACTGTCGTTTTCCACAGAGAGCAATGCCCTCGGAGACACAGCCTATCAAGGATGGTTGAATACTGATGCTCTATATCACCATATGAGTTGGTTTGCATCAAAAGGGTCACGACGGGAAAGTACTAACTTTGAGCGCATCATCAAGTGCGCAGTCCCAGTCTGAATTTCTTGCCTTGACAAACGAGCGATTCGCGTAAGAATTGTAGTCGTTGCCATCAGCGTTGATTTCTTGGGTGAACAGCCTGACAGCAGTAGGCAAGTCCCCGGTTATGCATGCATTGCGGGCTGTCGTGTTAATGGCGAGGATCTGCATCACGCATGGTTAGATTGTGTGGTAAGAATGAAGGTCAGAAACAAGCCTCGCAATCGGTCTGTTGAGCCTTGGGATCAAAATCGAGGTCGAAAATCAATATGCAAGAAGATGAACCGACTGACAATGAACAGAAACTCACATCATTCGCCGCATGTTCCTCTAAAGTGTCTTCCCGTAACGGATCCTTCGAGACAATGAGATGAAGGGACGGAAAACGAACAGGATCTTACATCTGATACCTGGTCCTCGGGAATATCCTCCAGGAAAGGAACTGCCCACTTTGAGATCATAGCATCTCTACCTCCGCTGAAAATGTGCTTGCCATCCGTGGAGAACGTGACACAATACACCTGATTGGGGTGCTTAAATATGGCGATAGTTCGTCGATCCGAAAGCCGCCAAAGGTGGACCTGTTGGTCTTCAGATGCGGATGCGATAAGAGTGCCAGTAGGGTTCAAGGCAACCATGTAGACAGTGTCAGTATGGCCTTTGCAGGGTTCACCGACCTGCTGCCAGGTCGATGAATCCCAGATCCGTATGGTGGGATCACTTGTAGAACCAGCCGAGACAAGCTGTTTGCCATCAGGCGTCCATGCGAGCGAGTAATTTCACCCTCCGTTGAATACAGAGTGACCCTGGAACTTTACGATTCGTTGACTCTTGCGTGGATTCCATATTTGGATATCATTCTTGGTTGCAATGGCAAGATAGTCACCAGACGGGGAATACCGAACGCAGAAGATTTGAGCACCAGTGCCAGGGCCACAATTGATTGGATCTCCTTGCACTCGCCATGTTTTTGTGCTCCAGAGCTTCGTTATGGTGTCAAATGAGCCACTCGCCAGAAATGTGCTGTCTGGGGAAAAGTCGAGCGAGAAAACCTTGTTGGAGTGGACTTTAATGAGCTGGGTGAGAGGCTCGCCGTCTCTGTTCCAAGCTATGACCTCTCCGCCGAAGTCACCGCTTGCAATCCATTGCCCGTCTCCGGATACTGCAATTCCTGCCACTTCGTTGCAATGCCCCTTCATTATCTTCAATACAGCACCCTCTTCTAAGTCCCACAGACGAAGGGTCCCGTCGTACGAGGCCGTCACCATACGACGTCTATCAGGGAAGGCTGCGACTGCCGAGACACTATCTTTATGACCTTCGAATGTGCGACTAGCCGTAGTGATTCGAATGGCGGGCTGTTCTGCTTCCGTCATTCTGCTCGATGTGGATACTGTTGAGCACGACTTGTCGGAGAGCTTGTGGGTGTCTTTATCTAAGTTTTAGGGCGCATGTACGGGGCCTTTTTGCGGTTCTTCGCGGCCCCAGGCCCATCTAAAAAGTTGAGCTGGTCTACACCTGTTCTGAACAAGCCACATTTGGTGTAGCTCAGGACGATGTTCGTCTTGGTTTACTGTGGCTGACGGGGTCTAGGTGTCGAGGTGACAGGGACAGGTCCATAGGATAGCATGCGGTTCATTATCGCGACAGGCGCAACTGTCGACATCCTGGCGCCTGCATGTCATCGCCTGGAGGTGAATTAACTTGAGTACTTGTAGGTGCCTGCCAGGCCTGTGCCTACTGCCGAAGTTAGAGAGTCACCAGCCATGTACGATATATATCACAGTACAGTTTGAATGAGCCGAGACGGACTACAACTTACAAGAGAGGATCCTCGGCTTGTCTCGCACGGGTCGGAACTTACAAAATAAGTAGATAGAAAAGGTGAGCATCGCAATATATTATATTCACCGTAATGAATAAGTTGCGTAAGTGAAGCCCGCAAACGACTGTGGGAAGTTATTGCGATTTTTAGGTAATATGTTTGCAATAGAATTTTTCAAAACAAAACCAGGTCGGAGACGCTGTGTGGAGCCAAAAGGCGTGCTCAATTCTTAAGTTGTCAGGTCAAGAGTTGTCAAGTCCCACCGTGCCTTAGAGCCAAACAATTTAGCCGACCGGGTTAGGCTCCATTTGGGCACCGCAGCCACCGCGTTTACTAAACAATATCGTAACAGTTCTCATATCGTAGTACCAGCGTGCTCATTATGCAGCAAAAACGGGAGTTTCGTGAGCTCTTAACTGTCCTTTCTCATCTTCTATGTTGGGTATGTCACAACGCACTCGCCTTGAACTTGAGCACTTCGTTTTCGCCGATGATGACAATCATGACCACAGTCATTGCACTGCTGCATTTCTCAGCGCTGACTCGGACTTCAAGTACTCGCGAGCTTGAGCATGCTATCTGGCCCTGGCTCGCGCGGCCCATATAATCAACGGAGAAAATGTTTGGAAGTACCGGGTTCTAACCCTTTCTGGGAACCGAAATTAATGGTACAAACAAAGAGCTGACAACTCTTGACCATGACAACTTAAGAATTGAGCACGCCTAAAAGCGTGCAGGTAATGAATGCATTACACAGTACACTATCCATCATCGTTAATGCAATACAAGAGTCTTGTAACTACCGTGTATTAATGCATTATAATGACAGGATCGGCTGGTGTTCCATCACTCGAAGTGATGCGAATGCAACATCGCATTGTGCCTCCGACATGTCGACGAAAAACTCTCCGCTGGATGATTTGTCCGTCAAGAAATCGCGCAAGGATGGGTGAAGGGGTCGGATTGGGGAAACTGGGTTGGAGGTACCGCTGAGGAGGGAACCCATGTGTTTTACTACAGGCTCCACGTCAAATCTGTCCTCTCGCGTTGGATAATGGCGCCTCATGGCGTTCAGGGAGGCTAAAGGAAGGGGCTCAGCTGCACATAGTATTTGTCCCATCACTGAGCGAAATCTCGCTAGCACAGTCAAACGCAGTTGGACAGGGGTGACTGTATCAATGGGCATGATATCTGTTAAAATGAGGTGATACATCTGGTGGTTCTCCTGGCCGGATCATGTGACACTACATCGTTGTAGCACTCGATCCGAGATAGCCCAAAATATTGCCCTCTGATGTATCTGCAGGCGAGTGCCGCCCACTCAAAAAGTCCATCGGCTTTCTCAGTGAGGACTGCAGACTCTCTGTACTGAAAATCCAATCCCTTCAACTCATTGGATACGTAAGCACAGATGTCACGCTCCGTGAGTGCTGTTGGAATATCATCCATCAATATCTGTCCAATATGCCCAACACCATGAAACTTGTCGTTGATGTCACGGAGCGGACGAGAGGTGACAATGAAGCAGATGTTGTCTGGGAGGTCTGTGATTTTGGGAACGGTGGGGTTGTGATGTTTGCCAGCCAGAATATGTAGGAGGTCTTTCCGTATCTCTGCTCCACCGCTCTCGTCCAGTGCATCAATTATGATCACAATGGGTCCAATAGTTAACCCAGATGTCTTTCTCAGTGGTTCAATGATAAGATCCTGCCACTGCTCGGTGATATCCGCTGCATTATTGCGCAAATTGAAGTTCGCGTTCTGAACTCATCTGCTAATGCCCGCATCATCTCCCGATCACGGTCAGCCAGGTGGCACGTGATTGTGTAAAAGATCTTTTCATGGCGACGGTCTGCTTCTCGCAGGCGGTCAAAACAGTAGCATGAAACAAGCCCTCCCACATTATGGACCCATTTAGCAATGGTGTGGGCGATAGCTGATTTCCCCTTGCCTGCGGGGCCAGATAGCCACAGCACGCGTGGAACGTGGTCCCCAGTGCTGTTGACCCAATCCATGATCTGGGAAAGGATTTCTGTACGCATCCCTTCAAGGCATTCTTTCCTGGGATCCAGTCCCGCGTCCTCTGCATAGATCATGCAGTTGAGGTGGTGTATTTCTCCTGAAAAGGTATGATTATATGTCAAAAAACAAGCACGTCCGAACGCTTACCCGTATGGTGGATGTGTATAGAGACATTGCGAGCCACTTGGTCCCGGAGGTTTTGCATGAGTGCATCTAACACGTCACTGTACTGTTGGATCGCATCAGTCGTTTCTGAGACGATGTTCTTTCCGAGTCTATTCCCTGTTATAACGGCAGAAACTTAAGACGGTGCAAAGCGCGACAGCCTGTTAACTCACAAAAGCTCTTGATTTCTGAATGATATTTGATAAATTGAGCGCACTCAAGGGTCTGCCGGGATATCTGTCCAAGGGTGATGCGCATCGAAGAGATTCGTCCAAGCATCTGATCTTGTGCTATAAAGTAGTAAACTTGAGACAACTTCTGGAGAAGTTCGAGTACCGCTGCGTCGCGATCTGCTTGAGATCTGCACGAATGATCACTGAGCGATGTAAGATACGAAGAGACAAAAAGAAACCATACTTTAGCCGCACGAGACAACACGCCCAGTGCCATCTTTGCATATGGATGTACCTGTGGAACAAAATTAGTTCGGTTCTGATTGAGAAGGGGGCCCATACATCCGCGAGCTTTTCGATAACAGCGTCAAATGTTTTGAGGGGTTGGAGATATGTGTCCGGAAAATTGTTTGCAATATCGAGATCCTCTTGTGCATTCTTGACAGCAGACGCCGCAGTTACCGCAGGTCTCAAAAGCAAATATATGTGCTCTGTAGCATCTTGTGCATGCTGAGGTAGCGATTGGATATCAGCCTCCACTTTTGCACCAGAGGGAGCAACCTGAACCTGCGCGATCACCAAAATTTAGAGAGAGCACAGAGAGTAAAAGGCAAGTATGAGAACTTGCCTCGATATTCGGGGTTGATAAACGTTCATCACTTGGTGGAGCAGGGCTAAGACTGTGGGAATCTTTCGAGCGCTTGTTGCAATCTTAGTCGTGTTCCAGATGCTCATTACGCATGTTCGGGGACTCACCATCCTTAACTTTTTCGCATCCTCCTTAAGCTTCTTCAGAAACACACAGATTCTGCCACGGGGTCGATGCTAGACCAAGAATATGTCAATGTCAGTGTTCAAGCTCAAGTTTAGAGTGGAGTGAACCAAGTGATCCTCATAACCACATACCGAGCTTCCAGAAGCTGTTGCTTGACTGGATGGGTGGGTTTCTTGAGTCGAATCTTTTGATGAGTTGCCTTTCTGCCGAGTCATTGTGAATTGTGAATAAATAATAGTTGAAGCAAAGAAATGGGACTCAGGAGGACTCGGTCCTACGCATGTGAGTATATGCTACTCGCTGATTGGACATCCGACACGCCGATCTGTCTTTGGGCTCGTACTATATACCTATTACCGTCACGTCGAATCTAACTCTCATCCACGTTCCGTCGAACCGTCTGAGTTTCTAGTGTCCTACCCTCTGGGTAGCTTCCATTTCCCTGCTGTGTTATTATTTCAGTCCGATGCTAACACCTCCTGCTGTGCCGCGTCGGACTCGTAAGTCAGTGATCTCGCCTGTCAATGTACTTTCTCCCGCTACCTTTGCAAACTCCTTCCTCCCTCCTCTCGCACGGACACAGCTTCTTTCTGACATTTGTGATCCCTTGGATATACGTTCTTCTCTTACTTCCTTCTCACTCGACTCGACGGTCTCTTTGCAGTTCCCTGCTATATTGCCCCTACCTCCTAGCTGATCTCCCTCACTGGGCGCCAGTATTCACGGACGTTCACACACAGATCCGCCAACGTCAACGGCTGCCATCATATTTCCAACTTACATATTTTTCAGTCTTGACTACACACCAACAAATCATCTGCTACCGCTAGTGGTCCTACAACCTTCAAAGCCCACTTATAAACCGCTCGTCATTGCCGCCCATTTTTTATGTTTGTCATGCCTTGGGTCAACTGGGATGCCTCGTTCATTTTCACACTGTAGTCCAGGTCTCACATCCATTTGTACACCATGATGCCGATGATAACTTGATTCGTGAAGATTATGTTCCTCATCCATCCAATTCCCAACCGTTAGCCACATGGCAGCTCATGGCTAGAGAAGACGAGGACATTCCGTGGGCATTGCTCGTCTCATACATCAGATATGCCGTTACAATATCTCTAGCGTCTTGATCATGTCCAGAATAGAAGAAAGGTCTTTAACTTGCGCAGTGATATCATGATCTGACGCGATCCTCTTGTATTCTCCGCCACGCTGCTGCGCTAGCAAAAATGCTCCAAAAGGCTGTTCAAGGCGAGCAGTCAACCGTAAAGCTCGATCACTCAGTTCCGGATCAACCGAATCCTGTGCTTCGGAGAACCCATCAAAGGAGTTCTGTAACGGAGACCCGGGCGCAGACCAATAATCTTCTTCGCTCTGCATGTCGTTATCAACGTCAAGCAGCTCTGCCAAGCCAGACGGCTCCGCAAAGTCAGGAAGCTCCAGGAGATACCGATTCCACGGACGAACAAGCAAGAACGTCTGCATAGTGGGTCGTGCTGATAAGAACTGAGTCAACTTATCCTTCGTGGTGATCAGCAGATCACGAAGCCCGTCGGCCTTGACTTCATATATCTCCTGGTCCTGAGCGCGACTCCGTTTGACTGCTGTGACGCGGAATGCGATGCAAGGCAGATGCAGCCTGCAGTTTGCGAAACGAGGCGCTTTCAGGTCGTCAAGTAGGGTGTAAATTGACATTGCGAAATCCACACCCGCGACATCTCGGGGCGACGAGATGGACGCTTGAATGTCATCTTCTGATAGAGATGGCAGGGTGTATGGTGGAGCTTTGTATGAAGTGATGTCGGCCGGCAGACAGCTATTGAATTCGGATGATTGCCCCACCCAGTCCAGGGCACTGATGTCGCCCGACTGAGCTACTACCTCCTGTAAAAGCCTCCCAAGCGCCTTTTGCCTTTTCTCTCCATAAATGACAGGTAGGTTGACGCCGAAGATACCAAACAATGAGTATGCGATGTCTTCCTGCCACGTGGTGACACGCGCCGACACCCATTGGAGTTTCACCCGGGCGTCTCTCATCCCTGGACGGAAGGCAACAAGGGACCGTGCATCTATACCCGTCGCACGTCCCATCTCCTGCATGATCGCAAGGGAATCCTTATGGTTGGGAGAACGATCATCGAGATATAGTGACCAATCCTTCTGATAAAACAGAACAAATTTTGGAGCCAAGAATTCTTGAACTGTCCATCCTCGTGTATTCCAAGCGCTACTTGCGAGTGCCCCAGGCTGTGACGAAGGCGGAACATCCGACAGGTAGATGATGGTAAGTGCCGAGTGGCGATACCAGATAAACATGGAGTTGACCGATTGTTGGACCTCAACATTGTTGGTCTGGTCGATGCAACAGGTATCGATCCATGTCCAGCGATACCCCATATCACGAGCAGTTTTACAGAATGACTGCAACTTTGGGATCCCGCCGACTGGATCCAAGTCGTACACCACCTTGTTCTGGATGTCATGCAGCGATGGCTCCGCCCCTTCCCACCTATGCGATAGCATGACATAACGGAAATACATCGCCACCACGTCTCGAATGCGCTCCATTTGAAGGTCTGCATGTTTCATTGTGGATGACAAAAGTTCTTTGTACTCTGCGCTCATTCTGAAGGCATTGATCTGTACCTCGCGATTGCACAAGCGCCCAGTGGAGGTGTTGATTAGACGATGCGGGGCGTCTTCGAGCTGAGCTTTAATCCTGTGTTCGATAGCACCTTCTGCTTCGGATGGACTAGCATACTGTCGACGCAAGTCTGGACAAGGAGTCAACCATGTTTGATGGATGTGCTATTTGGGACGTACTTGTCGCTTCCGTGTCGGGAGCATCTTCCAACTTGGAGAGCATGATTTTGAACGCCTCGATGGCTTCGTCGTATCGATGTGCGCCATGAAGTACCTCATGCTTCAACTGATATCCAAAGTAAGATGAGGGGTTGAGTTCGATGACCTGCGCATCATGAAGATGAGCGTCGAATACGAAACAGTAGCTGTCATCACACCTTTTCCGCGTCAAGGAGTGCATCGTCCCATAGCATTTTTCCCAACCTTGCTTTACTGCGGTTTGCAAAGATTGTACCGGTTGCCAAATCAAGGTGGATTGCTGCAGAGTAAAGCTCGATAGCCCTGTCGTAATCACCCGCAGCGAGGGCATCATCTCCAACGGCAGCAAGGCCAGTTGCTCCGCTAGTAGGATAGAGCATGCTGCAATCTTGTTTGAAAGCTAAGTGGCATGAGGTTGAGAATTATATCCGATTGAAATCACGAAGACTTGCCAGTGGACCAATCAATGCAGCGTGCTTTCGTAGCCTCATCGGCCCTATCCATCATGTACCGATATGCTTCGATGGCTTCTGGAAGTCTACCTGCCCGAAGGAGCACATTGCACTGATTCTGATGTGCAGTTTGCCACAAGGACTTGAGGTCCCACCCGAATAACTAGAGAAAGTACAATCGGGCGTGAAAAAATGTTGAGTTGCATTGCAATCAACCTACCACCACGAAGATGTCATATCTAAAATGGATGGCCGACATAGATGAGAAATCGATAATGTTGACGGCAGCAGTGAAGTGGTCAGCCGCTTCGTTGTGACGTGCGCCATCTAATGCACTCATTCCCAATTGGACATGTAGATAAGCCTGAAGTGCGAGATTCGCAAAATCAGCATCGACGCACGAATCTGGAGTTGACTGTGTCAGGAGCACTCACCTCCACGATGCCACAGGCAAGAGAATTTGGATTGGGACGCGTAATGGCTAGCTCTTGAACCCGCATAATTGCCTCGTCACGTTGATTTGCATTGAAAATCACAATGGCCTGACAGCTGTTGTGTAAGTAGCGAGTACGTGAGACACAATCAACATACCTTGATCAAAAGTAGAAGACGAGTTTTATTCAAGTCTGCGTCCACGTACATGAACGCGATATCAAACGCTTTCATCGCATCTTCAAACTGTCGTTTTCCACAGAGGGCGATGCCCTTGGAGATACAGCCCATCAAGGATGGTTGAATGCTGATGCTCTATATCACCATATAGATTGGTCTGCGTCGAAAAGGTCACGACGGAACGGTGCGACTCACTTTTAGTGCATCATAAAGTGCGCGATCCCAGTCTGAATTTCTTGCCTTGACAAACGAGCGATTCGCGTAAGAATTGTAGTCGTTGGCATCATCGTTGATCTCTTGGGTAAGTAGCCGGTCAGCAGTAGGCAAGTCCCCAGTTACGCATGCATTGCGTGCTGTCGTGTTGATGGCGAGGATCTGAATCACGCATGGTTAGATTGCGTGGTAAGAACGAAGGCCAGAAACAAGCCTCGCAATCAGACTGTTGAGCCTTGGGATTAAGATTGAGGATCAACAGGCAATGAGACGAGCAAAGAATGGGAACTCACATTATCTGCTACTTGTTCCTCCAAAGTGTCTTTCCGTGATGCGGCATCCTTGTAGAAAATGAGATAAAGAAGGGACGGAAAATGAACAGAATCTCACATCTGATGCCTGGTCCTCAAGAATGTCCTCCACCAAAGGTACTGCCCACTTTGAGATTATCGCATCTTTTCCTCCACTCAGGATGTACTTGCCATCCTTGGAGAAGGCGACACAATACACCTCATCAGAGTGCTTGAATATGGCGATAGTTCGTCGATCCGAAAGCCGCCAAAGGCGAACCTGGTTGTCTCTAGATGCAGACGCGAGAAGGGTGCCGGTAGGGTTCAAGGCAATCATGAAGACAAAGTTAGTATGGCCCTTGCAAGGTTCACCGACCTGCTGCCAAGTCGATGAATCCCAGATCCGTATGGTGGGATCACTCGCAGAACCAGCTGAGACAAGCTGTTTGCCATCGGGCGTCCATGCAAGTGTAGTATTCCATGGTCCATTGAACGCAGAGTGGTGACCCTGGAACTTCGCGACGCGTTCTCTCTTCTGTGGATTCCATATTTGAATATCATTCTGGGTTGCGATGGCAAGATATTCACCAGACGGCGAATACCGAGCACAGCGGACATCAGACCCACAATTGATTGGATCTCCTTCCACCAACCATGTTTTCGTGTTCCAGAGCTCCACTGTGGTGTCCCATGAGCCACTCGCTAGGAATGTGCTGTCTGGGGAGAAATCAAGCGACCCTATCGCTTTGGAGTGGACTTTGATAGGCTGTGTGAGGGATTCGCCATCTTTGTTCCAGACTATGACCTCTCCATCATTATTACCACTTGCGATCCATTCCCCATCTTTTGATACTGCAAGTTCTCGTATGCCGGAGCGATTCCCTTCTATTATCTTCAATGCAACACCGGTTTCCAAGTCCCACAGACGAAGCTTCTTGTCGTACGAGGCTGTCACCATACGGGGTCTATCGGGGAAGGCTGCAACTCCAAAGATACTATCTCTATGACCTTTAAATGTTTGAGTAGTCGTGGTGATTCGAATGGGGGGCTTTTCTGCCTCTGCCATGCTGCTCGAGGTGGACGGTGTTGAGCACAACTTGCTGGAGAGGTTGTGGGTGTCTTGGTCTAAATTTGAAAGGTGCGTGTACCGGGCCTTTTTGTGCTTCTTCACAGCCTCAACCTGCTTTGTGTATCACAACTGTGTATCCCAGGCTATGATGTCATATTGATAGGCCGAGTAGCCTCAAGCTTGCTCATGCAGTGATGTGGCAAGCAACGGAGCTGCCATCATAACTTCAATGTCGGTGCAATCACACATCTGATTACGACCTCAAGACAATTTATGAGTTTAATGCCTCGATGCTGAAGAGGGTTGGAAAGCCACACGAACCTTGTTATAGGTCTAGCACTGTCATCCCATCGTGCTCTCCTCGCAAGCGCTACTCATGACCACACCGTTAACCTCTGGGCCTTCGAGTTCTGCCAGCTCTTTGATGTCCAACATCCTGGCAGCATTCTGACTCACGCCATTTGGTTTACACGACGGTCTGGACCAAGATTGGTATGCGTGATACTCCATCCGACAGCATTTTTCCCGTACAAAAAGATCCCAACATATAATGCATATCACGCGCACAGATCTATTCCTGAAGCGCTAACATGGCACGAGCTATAATAATTAATGATAGGCCTATGTTCGAGTGTAGTACTTGTGTTGGCATCCTTGACGTCATATATAGTATATTTGATGACATGAATCAATCTAGATCGATCTGAACGTCAAAAGCACTCGGCGAATAAAATGATCTGGCTACCACGACACACCGAGGTCAATCTCATCGAGATCGCATCTCGAATATAGTCATCCCAAGCCTTAAAGCTTAATTGTCAAATCTGTTGAGTCGAGTCAGCAGCAACACGCACTTGCATGGTTCCTTCCTGCCAGACTGTGCCGAATTCATGATAGTCTTGACATCTTGCCTGATGACCTTCTTCACCATCCGACGCTTAAGCCCATCAGCCAAACAAACTAAGGAATGTCATCCAGCAAACGTCCATCAGCGTACAGTGAGAGAATACAATACATGGATGTAGCATAGACCTACGACAGAAAGGTGTGATGGTACCATGATTAATCTTGCCTGTCCCGTCCTCCCCGTTTGCTGTCCCCGTCTTTGCGTCGATCACGGTCATCGTAGTCTCGGACTCTGTCACGACGTTTGTCGACATCACGATCTCGGTCCCTTCGGTCCAAGTCCCTGTCGCTGTCCCTTCTACTATCATCTCTTCTCCTCCTGCCATCTCGGTCTCCTCGATCGTCACGGTCGCGTTCTCGTCGCCCATCGCGATCACCTTCTCTCCTAGACTTGTCGTAGTCATCATCCCTCCTTCTATCACTCCTCCTTTCACGATCATCGTCCCTCCTACTGCTCTTCGCTTCGCTCCTTCTCTCAGGCGACCGCGAAGCCCTCCTCGAAACAGTCGCACTCCCATTCCTGCTCTCTTCCCTACTGCTTTCCTGTCTCACAAGCGGGATATACCGCTTCTCGTCCCCTCGCCGTTTCTTCTTCTGCTTGCTGCCGTCATCTAGTACCTCCTGTTCCTTTGCACCAATTCCTAAGAGTGCAGGGCGCGATTTCGGAAGGTAAGGCTCCACCAGTGCATTCTTCTTTGCTCGTTCAGAGCTTGTAACAGCCCCGCCATCCACCCAACCCATGCCACGAAGCATAGCAGCTCCAAACGCAGTAATGGGCACACGCGCATAGTCCTCGATAGTCGCAACATCCGGAAGATCAACAACGTCTTGCTGAAGGGCTTCAGTTTCGCTGGGAGGAACAGGAATAGAATCGATCTGAGGCGCCGAGTCCATACCCCCATCCAGCAGCGCACGAAGGGCCTTTTGGTCTTCCGTCTCTTCTACAATATCTTCTTTTTGTCTCTCTTCTACCATCATGTTATTCTCTTCGTCAGTAGGCGTCGTACTTCTTTCTACTTTGGCTTCTTTGTTGCCGAACTGGATACCTGAGAGTTGAGGGCCGGAGTTGATGGAGTCGCGCGTTCCAAGTCCTCCAACGCTCCCGTCCGCACCTGTGCTTGCCTTAGCAGAATCAGGTACGAACCGTGCAGCCCCTGCACGTCGTTTCCGTGCTGCCTCCCGCCAATCCGGATTCGGCTTCGAAGGAATAACAAGAGGGCCCGCAGGGGCTTTACTCTTATTCTTTTTTCCATTCACACTAGCACCTTTTGTGAGCTGTAGAAATGTTGAAAAAAGCAGAGGGAGACGCACCGCTGTGCACCGAACTTGTTGAAAGAAGTGATTAGCTCGTCTTCGAGACGGTCGTCTTCGTCGTCGCTGGTGTCTGGCTCGTCTTTAGGCCCACCATCGGCGAACACGATCCCGCTCTCCTCTTCATCGTCGGAATCCTCGCGGGAGCTGTAGGTACGAGGAGAACCTGTGAGTGGGGAGCCAGAAGCGGAGCTGGCGGCACTGGAGAGGTGGCGAGGGAGTGCTGACAGTTTGAATTTGTCGCTGGCCCTGTCGTTGTCGGCTGCTGGGGGTTTTCGGACAGTAAATGATAGTTTAGACTCCATCGTTGTGCGGGACACAGCAAGCGTTCGATGGAGGAATGAATCCAAAGCTTAGTCATCATGACAGACACATTCTGGATCCGTGAAATCAATGCATAGAATTGAGTTGGCACGCTAAAAGTACACTTGGCTCGCGTAGAAGTGTACATAATATTCCTAGTCAACTCCGTCATGGTCTCGTTCCTCAGCATCACTATCAGATTCATCCCCATCAGCTGTAGCCGCGCCACCACCCCAAAACCTATTCAACAGATTCCTTACAACCCGTATGGGCATGGGCTGGAACAATCACATCAGCACCTTCGTTGGAAAAGCCAGATATCGAAAGACAGCTCACAGCAATATACTCGTCCTCGTCCTCGTCCTCGTCCTCGTCCTCATTCTCATCTTCTTCCTCGCTTTGATCCTCGTCCGCCAACGCTGGCGCTGTTTCTGCTGCACCTCTCGGAGCCATCGGTTCCAAGTCCAACCCATCATCATCACCCTCCTCCATCGGCAATCCACCCGGCATACCCCCTTCACCCGGCATACCAACACCGCCCTCCCCAGCCATCGCAAAATCAAGCATCATATCATTGAGCGCCTCTTCTGGCATCTCTGCCATCATCTGCACAAACTGCACCACACCACCAGGCAACTGTCTCGCCAGCCCGGGATTCGCATTAAACAGCGCTTCGATTTGTGCCCTGATTCCTGCGTCTGGGATGAGTCGCTCCAACGCACGCGCGTCCCGTCGGCGAGGACGCACACTGAATATCTCTTCTGCACCTGCAAAGAAAGCATCATTATATTCAGAGGATGCTGTGAGTGGTGGAAGCGGATCGCATGCAAGCTGTTTGGCTAGTAAGACAGAGCGTGGGATGAAAGGGGTGAGGTTCCGGAAGCTTTGTTCGAGGACGAGAATATGTCGATAGACAGAGTAGCGAAGCGTTGTCGAGGCGTACATTTGGAGGAACCGCTCACGCGTTGGATTGGAGCGTTGAGCGTTGAGTGACGATCGAATTCCATTAGCGGTATTTTCGAACCATTTCATATGTGAAGCAGATTTCCATAGAGGTGCGGATCGCTGAGCATAGAGATGAGATAAGAGGTGGAGAATGCTTTGCGCAGGTGACAGCCCACTTCAATCGCTGTTAGTACACGGGTATCTGACAGATCAATTTAACGCACATTCCGTCAGTTTGAATCCGGAATGCTCTGTGTTCGCGCAGCTCCGGAGACAGTGAAATTTCACACTTGTCAGCCAGGAGTGGTACCACCTCTGGGAAGGCCAGCATAGCCTGCTTCAGCGCATCCGCACTGCTGCCTACGCTCTACCATTTCAAGATTAATACACCGCTGATGGTACGAACAGAAAATTTACCTGCCCCCCGCCTGCTTTTTCCCTCGCAAAAAGCGCCAGGGCTCTCGCATACGCCCATCCAGGTAGTGCACTTGGATTCAAATGATCCTCGAATGCCGTCTTTGCGCAAGCAAACTCGGAGTATACGTCCAAGAGCCATTGACCCATACCTGATTTGATGGAAACAAAGTCAAGATGGAACAGGACACCGTGTGGATCCGTCCATGGTTCGAGAGAGTACAGAAGGCGCCCAAACTCGAACGCGGTACGGATACATCCGCGACGCTGGAGATCACTGTGACAAATTAGTCTCCAAGATATGTGCACGGGAGAGGGACATACGTGACCTGTCGATGCAATGCAAGGAAGAAGGGACGATTCTCGACACGGTTGAAATCGAGGCGGTTGAGTCCATTCGTGAAGCTGTATGACCCTAAGAAAGCGCGTTCATATGAGAAGAGCGCCCGATCCACGTATTCCACGGCTTGGCTGTAATCTGTTCTGATTTTATAACATGAACATGTTCGAAAACGGACCACTGACCTTCTTGATGGCGATATACCTCTGCCAGCTGCAGCAGTGTATCGCCATGCCACGGGAGCTTCTGCAAAACTCCCCGCAGCGCTTCGGGATCTGGTCCCAGGGATAACTATGAGCGTTATGAGAAGGTATACGATGAAAAACGCTACCTGCTGAGGATACGGCCTGCATAAAAGTTTTTGTGGCACCCTTGTACCTCTTACTATATTCAACAGTCCACCACTTGTCTCCTGCAGCCGGGCTACTTCTATCTGTAATCTTTTGTTGCACCTCCTCGTCGGTTAATGGGCGAGAAGAGAGTCCTTCACGTGGTTTGATCATGCTCCATGATGGATGTGGTCGTGTAAGTTGTGAACGCTGAGCCTGGGTTGGAACAACGCCCCTCCGTTTTTTGGAGCCGCCAGAGGAGGAAGTCTCTGACGATTTTGCAGCTATAACGGCTTTTGCGCCAAAGAACTTGCGCATTTCTGCTTCTGCATCGAGATTGGATACTGAGACAGATAGAAGGGACACAAGAGATGCATTTCGAGTCGTTGACGATGAGGAAGTAGCCACGCTTTGTAGTTCTGGGTATCTTTGCGTTGATGAGCATATTAGGCGGCAGTTAGAATTTTAGACGCACTTTTGGGAAAGCTCTGCGAGCGCCGTGTCTAGATCGTCCAGACCGTCTTTCTTCTTCTCTTTTCCCTTGCCTTTCTTTGAAGATTTAGGCTGCTGGGGCTTCGGTACCTCAGCGGGTTTATCCTGCTGAGGGTTTGCCGGTGCATCGGATGCTACTGGTTTCTTCTTCTTCTTCTTTGCCTGCGTTCAAATTAGTCAGTCGGTCTCAAATAATAATATATAGTAGTTGCGCGCCTTCTTTGCCTTTGTGGGCTTAGATGTTTCGTCATCGCTGTTAGGTTCATCGTGGTCATCTTCTGCAGTGGAAAGCTGGGTCCATCGTTACGATCTCCACAAAGATTCGTTCCAGGGTTGAACTTACCGCTGCAAACCCCGATGGTACTATCGGCGCTGGTTCTTCCTCGCTGTCGGTATCGACGGCCGCAGCAGTCTGGTTTCCTAACGCAAGAAGCTCTTCTTGCTCGCGCTGCTGTCGTTTATTAATTCGTGCGGGCATGGGGTATGTTGTGGTCGATGATTAATGAAAGCTATGTTTATCTTTGGTTATTATCTAATCTTCTCAAGTACTCCAGTTCAACAAGCCTTCTATCTTCTGCACGTTTGCTTCCGACTTTATTTTTCGACATTCGTTTTTTCGTCGCCATCGTCGTTGGTGAGTTCGAGGAACACCGCTGATTCAACGCTTCGTAATCTCAAGGCTGCTATAATAAGGTCGAGTGACTCCCTTCAAACATGGAAGCACAGCCCCCCGCGCTGCTCAGCGCACCGCGGATGTTGACGCTTGTAGGATCTATCCTCGTATCCCTCAGTTCAGGGACAAACTATGTGCGCAAAATTTCCATGATATGTATATGTGTGGCGTTGAAAGTAGTTTTGCTGCGACCAGATATACTCTGGTGAGTAATACTTACGTGTGTCGATAAGATCCTTGGCATGATGTCCTATCGCAGCATACGCTCCACAATTAGGCGCACGTTTGTTCCTCTCCCACACCCAGTTGAATGTTATCGGCCTCGCAGGGAATGGTACGCTAATCATTCAAATCAACTCGACCAAATTCTAAGCTTTATTCAGTGGGTGTATATCTGAGCGGCCCAGCCTGGGGTCGAGTAGTCGATACAAGGGGTCCTCGTATTCCGCTTATCAGTGCCTCTGCCTGCCTCCTCATAGGATATCTCGGCATAAGGGGCATCTACGACAATGGTGCTGGAACAGCAATATCGTTCATGCATCTTGTCATCCTCATTGCCTGCACTTTCATAACCGGGTTGGCTGGAAATGCAGGCCTTGCCGTTGCTGTAAACACTACGGCCAAGAGCTTCCCTGAAACCTCGGTTTGTTTCCGTACTTTGATCCATCCATGAATAAGTCAAACTGAAGGAATGGCCTTTTATGCAGCGCGGAACTATCACAGGTCTCGTTCTGTCTGGTTTCGGCTTATCCGCGTTTTTCTTCGCTACAGTCGCCAGTATCGCATTCCCTGGCGACACATCTGCTCTTCTCCTTGTCCTGGGCCTCGGAGCTGCCATGCCCATGCTTCTTGGTCTTGTGATAGTCCGTCAAATTCCGTTACCTCCTCCGAGTACCACACTCGGTATCGAAGGGGGCCTTCATGGACGCGAGGGATATCACCCGATTCCGAGCGGTGATGCCGCTCTATTTATTCATGAGAATGACAGCCACACCTCCCTTCTTGATCCCACGGAACTCGTATACGAGGCACCAAACTATCATGTCCCCGAATCATCGACCGCAGTGGAACTTGTGTCGGACCGGATTGTATCGAGAGGGTCGAGTGCCAAGAGGAGTGCGAGTCGTGCAAGGCCCGTGCATGATGGGCCTAATGTCTATGGGAAGCAACTATGGCTTACCCCAGATTTTTATCTTATTTTTGTTATCATGTCGCTTCGTGAGTTGAGTTTATCTGCTTTTCATACCTGCTGACCGATGCTTGGCATGTATTAGTAAGCGGAACCGGGCTCATGTGTAGGTGTTTCTCATCAGGGTCAATTGGGTCGCCTCACTCAAAGTTCTGCAGATATCAATAATGTTGGTTCCATATCTCAGGCATTATATGCCAAGGGGAATCCTAATTACGACGAGTTAGAAGCTTTGCGATGGCAAGCCGCACAGGTTTCAACTCTCAGTGTTTGCAACTTCGCAGGACGTATTCTTACTGGTTCATATCTTTGTCCTTCTACTTCGCTATATTCGCTTATTTCATACACCAGGATTAATTGCGGACTTGATCCGAATTCGCCTACGTCTCCCTCGTGCATACTGTCTTTGCATCGTTTCAACGCTCTTTGTCGTCTCTCAATTGTCTGCCATCAGCATCAACGACGTTGCGCATCTTTGGAAAGCAACTGCGCTACTTGGGCTCGCATACGGTGGTCTGTTCGGCATTGCCCCTACGATTATCATTGACTGGTTTGGGCTGAGTGAGTAGTAGACTAGGTGCTGATGAGTCATGCTAAAAGGGACTGATGTGAATTATTCTAGCACATCTCTCGGAGAATTGGGGATATGTCTCACTCAGTCCACTAGTGGGAGGGAATATTTTCTCGCTTCTGTTCGGTCGTAACCTCGATTCACACGCCTCAGACGATGACACCGGAACACATTCTTCTTTACCCTTGGTAAGGCGTGGTGGTCTTCCAAGCGAACGCCAATGTTTTGATGGACGCGACTGCTATGTCTCGAGTTTGTACGTAACGGCGACAGCGTGCTTGATTGCACTTGGGCTGAGTGTGTGGGCGGGAATGAGGGACCAGAGAAAGACAACGGAGGCAAAGAGGGAAGTTGTTTGGGATGCTGAAGACTAAGTAGACAGAAAGTTTTAGGCAGATATTCATTGCAAGATATAATCATCATAGGCTCGCTAGAAACACCAAATTGCGGGAAACGCCACAAAAGACGTGCAACAGGCGCTGAGTAGGTGAGGCTGCATGCACATTCCGTGCCCGTTCCATGTTCATATATGCATAAGTCCAGAGGCATATTTAATTGCAATATAGATAGCATATTTAGTTACGCTGTGAATATATACGTACAGTGTGAGGTATAACATAATGAAAATATATACAGTTTGATACTACAGATATTGTACAGATTCTATGCGGTCCTGGTATTACAGATGTGAACGCAGGTGGCAATAATAACATTAATCAAAACCATAGCCCATCCAATGGACGTGTCATCAACAGGAGAATAGATAGAAACACGAAAACAGCAATAAACGCTATGCGAAGGTTAGAAGCGAGCAGACTTGGGGCCCGAGCAGCTGGTACCGGCAAAGGGAGAAACGAATGGGGTGTGAGCGGTGATGAGATAGATTTAATAGTCTGCTGTGGTTGTATTGCCCGCATTTCGACATCAGGGGCAAGCAGCTTCGTGCAACATTCTCTGCGCGGACTTCCTGGCAGTAGTTGAGGGGGCATCGTAACAGAGTTCGTGTATAGAGTTCCCGATTGCAAGCGAGGATGCGTGGGCTGACAGGCTGGCGGTGGTGCGTTAGCTTCATCTGCGGCAAACTCTTTCTCATCTCCGAATTGTTCTGCCTGACCACGCTGTAACAGTGATTCACCGTTCAGGCTTCTCATTGATAGCGGAACAGAACGTGTTGGTATGTCAGCAGTGCATCCCACCGCTTCTGGGAATTTATGAGGCTGTGGAGCTGCGGAGTTCATCGACATTCGTGAAAGCGGTGAAGGGGGTGATGGAAGCACCTCCAAAGAGCGGTGACTCGAAGTATTAGTAGGAGTGGGGCTCTTGATTGCGTCAATGACGGGTTCGATATCGGAGTTGTCGTCCGAACAGACACGCTGCGCACGATTCAGTAGGTCTTGTCCTTCCATTACATCTGCAGGATTTTTCCTTAGCTGAAAACGGTATAGCAATGCAAGTCCAAGCTTGAGCAGTGCCAAGGGACGGTCTGGGTGCCCCGATCGGCGAAGCTCCAGCGCTTCCTGATACAGCGAGATAGGGGCATTGATGGCGCCATCGCTTTCTTCAATATGCGGGTGAATCACGAGAGCGTCCGCTAAATTAGTCAATGCTGCTGCACGGTCAGGGTGATCACTGCCACAATAATCAAGCGCAAGGCGCAGCTGTTCCGTGGCTGCGTGATAGTCTGAGATGCGACGAGTGCGGCGATAGCATTCGAGGAGATTCTGACCGGTTTCTGTCATTTGACCAAGAAGTCGTGACTCATTAGGTCTGGGCTAGCTGGGACGTCAATCTGATAGCAGAAATGCTTGTGAAGTTGACAACACTTACGGAGTAGCGTTGGCCAAACTGAGCTGCATCGGGTTCGCCTTCAAGGCCTCGGTCGACCTTTACTAGGAGAGACGATGATTCACCCCCATCAGGGAAGAAAAATATGGCTGAAGGTTATTTCATCTGGGTGAAAGGCATTGAAAAACAAACTAGCTGCCAGCTTACGTAGGGATTGGTCACTGTGATGTAAAAGTTCTCCCACTGTGAGCTCAGCTTTGCGCATCAACTGGCCGCGCCCAAGCATACGTTCAAATTCGAAGGCTGCAAAAATTCTCAAAGATACTGTTGTTGAACTATCTGCGGGACTGAGATACAGTTTCAGTATTCTCACAGAACGCCCTCTAATTAAGCACTCACAGTACAAAAATCTGATCCCACTGCACGATATTGCTTGACGGTACTTCCGCTTTGACAGCTGTTCTCCAAACAGTTCCGTCAATCTCGATGGCGACATAATAACCGGCTGGAATGCGACGAAGGCCAGCCGCAGGAGCTGTTACATGGATTGCTACACCCCAGAATGAATCGATCTAGTCTCGATAATGTGAACCAAAAGCCTTACAAGAAATTGACAATCGCTTGTCCTGAGGCGTTTGGCGCCACGATTCTAGCTGAGAATGATGGGACATATACGAGAGAGGGGAAGCTGCAGGGCAGGAAGGGGCCGTGAACTATAAATCTGGGCCGGTGACATAGCGGTGTTCCTGCGCTGCAACCTGTGCTGGCGTTCTTGATGAGCGTCTGTGGGATTGATTATTAAGTTGTGCCCCGTGTTGAAAATGGATTCGGGAATGGAACGTGGTTGCACAGCATTCTGGAGGTACGACCTGATCCGTAAAATATCGGTCCCGGTTTGAGGCCGGCAACCAAGTTCACCGACTCACAGTACCGCTAGAAGTCGTTATAGCTGGAGTGTGAAAAACCTCATGCTGCGATCATGTTCCAATATGGTTCAGGAAGTGATAGTAATAGGCATGTCAGGAGACAGGCAGCTGGAATCCCGAGCATTTCAAATGAAGGCCTGGACTGATCGATTGCGTTACATTTCACAGACTCCCACTGATGCGATAATGTCGTGATCAGGCGAGGTGAAGCCATATAATTGAGCAGACAGGCTTGTGACGTCGTACAAAAGGTGACTTGGAAAAAAATACTCGGACCACATACCGTATGTCCACTTGCGCTCTGCTGAGCTCTATGAACCACAATGAATGTGGGTCGGGCTAGTACTTGACCAACAGTTTCGCTGAGTTGTGAATAATTTGATAGTTCGACAGGCTGAAATCCCTGTATCGCTGGGTGCAATTCCCAAAAGACTAACCGGCTGACCGGGGCTGACTTTGTCGGTCGCCATAAGCCAGTGGTCTCGAGCCACAACGTTCCACCGAAAAAAGACAATTTGATAGCTCCTCATGCAAGCTGTATGATTTCAAAGACCACTCGGAGCCCACTTCATGATCTGGTGTTTGCCAAATTGCCCTGCGTAAGTAGTTGCATTCGCTGAATTGAGGATGAGATGCAGGAAGGAAAGTGTCACAAAGGGTTGACCAACTTTGAGTCCGAACAAGCTCGAGCTCGGCAACTGGTGTTCTGGTATCAGTCACATGAAGCGGAGATCGGAGTTTGTTTCCACGTGGTCCCTGGGACTCAGGTTTCGTCCACTGTTTGTCCACGTCTCTCGTTCAACGGACTTGTCTATTGCTGTCCATTGGTTCGTGAGTGCTTTTCTCTTGATCTCATACAGAGGCTCCATTTCGCTTGACATTTGTCTGCTATGATCCAGAGCAACCAGCGCGTCTGTTACCGCGCGTTCAAGGGCAGCTATGTCCATACAAATGGATAGGGTACACACTTTAGCTTCCCGACCCCCTCCAATTGTTCCTGCACCTACCCACTTACAGATGTCCGCAAATGTGGTTCCTCGTGGTGCGGAGAAGCTTCCCTCGCCAGAGCAAACCTCCAATGATGAGAAGCAAAGCCAGATGGAGCTGTCACTGAAACGTTCTATCACGCTTGTTATATGGTACAAGGTTGGTGGTATATTCTTAAATGATTGTGCTAGGTGACTTGACTAATTGACAGCCGGCGTGCGATCCCATTCGCCTGAACCACGAGATATCCACCTTTCCGTTGTTTCAGCTGTCGCATTTTCCATCCGTGGTTTCCGACCTGGAACTCACGCCCGCTTCATACGTCGATACGTATAATCATGCAACAGGGAATTGGGAGCAACATATGATTACCACTGTCCGTGCGATCGAGACAGACCAACGTCTGCTATATAAACTCCGTAAAAGTCTTTTAAGTGGGCTTTTGGATGAGGAATGTCGAGGACTCGCAGAGGAGTTGGCGCTACAGTCGAAGAAGAAACAACCCGTATCTCCTACGATTGTCACCCAAAATGGCACCAAGAGGCCTGCAACTGAGCATACAGAGGGCCCTCCCACAAAACGACCATACCCACCGGAAGGGTACCCGCACCCGATGTACATACCGCCCATGGGATATATGTATCCACAGGTCCCGCTTGGACATCCAATGAGTGCACCGCTAGTCGCTAGCCCATCGCACGCAAACAGTCCTGAGGGCGAGGCTTCCTCGCCCATGCCACATCCATATTCAGGTCCTCCTCCAACCCCAATGAGCGGCCAGCCACCGAACAGCCCAGGGCAGTATCCAGTAGTGTCGCCTTCGTCAGCCACTCGAACAGGGCCAGGGCCATTCCCTCAGCACCCACACCCTCCACTCAAAAGATGGCCTAACGATTATACTGTGTCTGAAATTGCTGCCGGCTTCCGGCAGATGGATGCTCTTATTGCTCAGACGCCTAATGCGACTCAGCGCGTATCATTCGAACGCGTTTTTGGATGCCGGTATGTTAAGTCGACCGTGTGCCGACATCGTGGCGTATATCGCAAAGCTGATACAGCGGTCCGGAGTATGTTTGAGAATATGGGGACGGACGAACGTGCCGTATGGGGTGAGTTTGTGAGGCGCGTGGAGGGTCGACCATCAGGAAAGCAGGGGCAAGGAGAAGAACCTGCTCTTCATGGTGACCTTATCGAAGGGAGCTCGCAGCCCGGTCAAGTTCAGCAGGAACAATGTGGAGAGGCGAATACAGTCCCACTTATGGATTCACTGGTACCGTCTCCACACATGACTGTCTCCTCGCCACCCCCTAGCATCAATGGTGTGTGTTCTATATGATCTAATTCCACGTGCTTATTTGATCTATAGGGCATGTTCCTGTTTATGATCCAAGTCTAGCAGATAAAGATGCTGGCTTGTCTGGAACATGAGGTTCAAGTTTTTCACAGCGTTTTGAGCCCTCTTTTCGCCATCCACGCCGTGACTCCGTGCGGTATTTGTAGGACTTCTTCCTTTAATTCACAATCTAGGGCTCAGGGTATGATATATTTACTGATAGCGTGACTTGCGATAGTCTCATGATTGATCTGCGCTCAAAGCTATAAGGCAACTGAGGATGCCTCGAGCTTCATCAGAAGCCTCGAGTCCATCCCACTCCTGTCAGTATTATGTTAAGGATTCAAAATGACTCGTTAATCAAATGGATCTAGCAAGAAAATTCTACATAGACGACTGAATAAACCGCTTCGGCTGCTAGTATGGTACAATTTAGACTACAGTGCAACCGAGGTCAACCCGATTGATATTGGTCACGTGTCTGTGCACCAAGTGCAATGTGTTGTCGAAACGTAACTTTCGTCATCATTTTGGGCTTCTCGGTATAGCATGATTTATAAAGATCGCTCCGGCTCCAGTCTCTAAACCCTACCGGTCTCCCTCTCTCGCTTTAACGACTACCACGTTGCACAGCCTGATACCAGCTTTCCTTGACTTTCCAGTTACTCGTTGTGTGAAGATAAATCGATGACCGAAGACTCAATTCCTAATAAGAGGATCTTCAAAGATCCGGTACATGACTATGGTGAGTATTACAATTCAGTCAATTTATCATGGAAATCACATTGTGACCGCGACTCCGTATGTCCAATAGTGGAGTATGATCCATGGATTTGCAGCTTTATAGACACGCAAGTTGCCATTGGCTTCTTACTGATGAAAAAAACTCAATATATGCTTCTCCTAGACCGCACTTTCAACGGCTGAGATATGTAAAACAACTAGGGATCTCGTACTATGTGTACCCAGGAGCGTCTCACAATAGATTCGAACATTGTCTCGGTACGAGTGATGATATATCTTGGATTGTTCGGCTGATGGGCTCAAACAGGCGTTGGCCACCTGGCCAGGATGATGGCTCAGCATCTTCAGAAGAGCCAACCGTCGTTGGGTATCACAGATGAGCATATACGATGCGTTGAGCTTGCTGGTCTGTGCCACGACCTTGGTCACGGGCCCTGGTCCCATGTTTGGGATGGCCATTTTATCCCCAAAGCCCTGTAACATGGCATTGTACCTTCATTTCCGAAAGACCTGACGACCGAATCTTAGTCCTAATCACCCCAAATGGAGTCATGAGCAAGCATCAGAAATGATGTTTGACGACATGGTGAAGAAGTATCGTAGCCTTGACATCTCGCCTGAGGATGTAGAGACTGTGAAGGCACTCATTTCTGGCAGGAAGGAGCGATGCAAGTGCGTGTTGTTGTTGACTTGACTCAACAGTTTCTGATGGACAGTTTTTTACTTCAGGCTTGGAACGACTATGCCTTTTTTGTTCGAGATTGTTGCCAACGATCTCAATGGCATTGACGTGGACAAGTGCGTCTCTACTCTTCCACATGAGCAACATCTAATTTTAAGTTCAAGGTTCGATTACATTGCCCGTGATTGCCACGCTGTCGGCGAGAAACGCAACATTGCCATGACAAGGTAGTCTTCAGATCAATTCATTCGCTGAGTGCTTTTGACACTCATTTTAGATTGATTCATTCCGCCCGCGTCATTGACGGTCAAATATGCTATGACATCAAGGACGCCAACTCAGTCTACGAACTATTTTACACTCGTTTCTCGTTGCACAAAAATATCTATAATCACAAAACTAGTACGTATTACGTTGCATACATCCTTTTTTATGCTGACGTTAGTATAGCGCGCGCCATTGAGTACATGATCATGGACGTGCTTCTAATTGCGCAGAAGCACATGAAGTTCGCAGAGTACATCGACGTGCCTGAAAAGTACCTTCATCTCACGGATGATCTCTTCCACAGCATTAACATGACCGAATCGGAAGTGAGTCTACGTAATTGCTCCTTTCGTTTGTCTCATCGCGTAATTGTATCAGGAACTCGAACCAGCGCGAAAGATCATTCACCGCATCCAGACCCGTGATCTCTATCGCCGGGTGGACTACAAGATCATGGACTGGGATGACAAAGAATTTTGTCAGACACATATCACGCCTGAGGCAATCGTTCATGCTGCTAAAAATGCCAACCTTGAAGGCGTCGAACAGAGCCTCGTCGCTGAGCTCACTGTTGACCACGTCATCGTGGATGTGAGCAAGATGCACTACGGCCGAGGAGTGGACAATCCCATCTATCAGGTTAAGTTCTACAGCAAGCATGAACCAAATGGTGATCATCGAGTATTACAATCTGACAGTTGTACTGATTCGTCCCCCAGTGTGCCGGCGGGCCGAGTCTGGAGACGTCTCCCTTTTGATGCCCGAGAAGTTCGGCGAGCTCCTCCTGAGGATTTACACCAAGGAAGAGCGATTCATGGGCCTCGTGCAAACCGCGTACCGGCATGTGCTCAGGACCCTTCCTATGCCTGGCGAGGCAGCGGGAATAGTCACTATAGTACCAACACCTCCCGCTACTGAAGCGCCTTCTACCCCAAGGGCACTTACGTCTACCCTAAGTTTTGGTGTACCTCAGAGCCGCGCATCAAGACCTTTCGGACGCACACCCAGCTATTCGGACAACCAATTCACTACACTTCCACCAAATTGTCAGAGCCGCTCTCCGACGAGGATATCATCACGAAACTTGAAGAGGGCTAGGGAGAGCAGTATCGAGTTGGACATTGACAATCCTCCTCCGACTAGGAAGAGTATGCGTTTGGCGTCAGTGTCAGGGCCGACAAAGTGATCTGACTTTCATACTCCTGATGGGTTCAGCTTTTCTTACAGTTTCCTGCCTGCAAGTGTTAGATTCGCGCCTTTGATGCATTCCCGTTCCGCATTCAGCCTGTATTCATTCATGATTTGTTGGAAAGAAGAATTCACTTACTATACAAATTTTATAACACGCTTCGCACTTTATACCAGTACCATAACATATATACTTACTTGACACACCTGACGCGTCAAGCGGTTACAAGTTCCTGGAACTAGTGAGGAAAAGAACTATTCGCTGACCGATGTGTTCGGTCGTACCTGCTGGTGTGAGATGAATGCAATACGAGAAGTACAACTTATGTGCATCGGGAAACCGGCGAGAAAAAGGTTTTCGTAGATACTTATTAGTACCATCACCAAAGTGTCTTTCACTCCCGCACCTTGCAACCTCCTTCATCATCTCTCTCAGGCTGGATTCATATTTAACTTCATGAATTTACGCTCGTTTGATTTTTTTTCGATCCATCCAATTGAAGATTGGTAGGAAGGTTTCCCCATACATTCCCAAGTGAAAGCTGTCAGCAGATTTACGCAGATTGTTGTGATGTTCGACTTTATATTTGCCTTACATATCATTCTCATCTGTTCACCGGTTCACTGATTCCCCGTGACGGCAACATGCGCGGCGAACATCGAGGCAGATGAGATTATTTGGTAGAGTCGCTAGTATTGGATCAGATGATGCAGGGAGTTGTTAACAATGAAGATATGATCCCCAGTCAGAAATTCATTCAGGGAATGTTCCCCATAGTAGACTCGACATGTTCTAGGCGATGCGTGTGAGATCATGAGAGCACAGAACTCAGTCGATTGGACATGAAAGGTACTACAGCGCAAACAATAGACGGGTGTCAGAAGCTCAGGCTACTAGTATGTTGGCAGTTAAAGGTCACTTCGTCCGACGTCTGTCTTCATGTTCCCACACTAGCATGATTTGAATTGAGTGAATTACCAGAATCAACCAGTAGCGCTGCCTCATGGAATCCATGCTTGCCATGCACATAAGACCCACCCTCGTTGTTTGCTTGCTACCAGGAAGGAACAAGTAGAGCAAGCAGTAAGTACTGGTCAACTGTTCCCGTCCTTTTTTGATCATGAACCGAGTCAGTCAGACAAAACGCAAAGAAGCCTCACAGTAACGAGCTATGTCTCCCGAATTCCTTGCGACGCCTATCATTGAGGAAGCTATGACTTCTGATTCTGAAGTCCCTGCAATGCCGGCTCATGAAGAAGCTCAGGACCCAACTCAAACCGAAAAGTCAGCTCCGAAGCAAGAATTTGTAGGCCACGAGGACTATGTTTGGGCTTTTGTCTTCTTGCACGACAATATCCACATCGTGAGTGGCTCGTGGGACGGCACGATGCGCAAGTGGGACTGCGACACGGGACTTCTTGTTGGACAACCATGGACAGGCAAGGGAGGTTGCATACATGCATTAGCACTTTCACCGGACGGAAAGACAGTTGCGTGTGGAAGGATGGACGGAAGCGTTCAGCGGTGGGACACCGACAGTGGAAAGATGATTGAAGACGTTTGGACGGGACATAGCCGGGAAGTAAGGTCACTGTCGTGGTCACCCAACGGAGACCATATTGCAAGTGGGTCCAGAGATGGGACAATCCTAATCCGAAAACTAGACAGCGGACAAACCGAGATGGGCCCGATCAAGACGGGGCAGCGTTGGGTGAATGTTCTGGTGTATTCACCTTCAGGTGACAAAATCGCATCAGGCGGGTTGAATGAGACGATCTGCATTTGGGATACAAAAACAGGCGAGCTCGTTCTCGGCCCCATCGAAGAACTGGGGGCCAGTGTCACGTCGTTGTTGTGGTCGTCGGAAAGCAAGAAAGTTTACGCCGCTTCAGACAAATTTGTGCGTGTTTTCGATAGTAACTCAGGTATCGAACTTCATCGCTTCGAGCACGACGATTTGGTGAATTCTATCGCGCTTTCACCCAAACACAATGTACTGGCCTGCGTGGGCCAGCCAGGTGTTGCACAACTATGGGACACAGAGTCCTATGAACCATTACTCCGTCAGCCATTCATTGACCGCCAAACTCTTCGCTGCGTAGCATTCTCTCGAGATGGGAGATACCTAGCAAGTAGCGGACTTGACAAGAAACTCACCCTGTGGGTGGTAAAAGACATGGTCCCTGAGCTTACAGTACGTGTTTGCATGTCCATACTGCAAGTTGACAAGCTATACAGTAGGAAACTCGACCCAGTCACCACCACCATCTTGCCTTGACGTCAGTACTCTCTCATCGGACCGCCTTCCTTCCATTACTCACGAAACTAACACAGGTCGATGTTACAAATCCTCAATCAAGTAGCGATGTGTTCACCGACGGGGAGTCAGATACTTCATACGGTGATTGCTTTCAGGTAAACCTCGTGTTTTGTCGTGCATACTGGAACACTAGTATTGATGATGAACAGACTGACCAGCCCTATCATCCTTCAGCACCACCTTCAGGACCCTATCGTCGTTCCCGGAATCACAATCTATCCCCCACTCAACGCTTCTGGAATACTATTACTGTCCCTTCTCGACGCCACTTGCCAGCAAATGAGTCTACAGCGCTGCAACCACGTCCCAAGCACAGTTTCTTTGCACAATACACTGGCCCGCAGCCCGTAACAGTCGCAGTTGGAGGAAACAAAAGTGTAAGCACTGTATCAGGTATCCCTCGTTCTGCTACATACATTACCGAATCTCCAGAGGATCTACGTAGGGCGTCTGCCTGTGAAGACTAGCACTCAAACTGGTCAGTCATCCTCAACGATAACTCAGCCTACAGCGCAGCCACTTTCGATGTCACGGCCTCAGACTCAGACTCAGGTGCAGACGACAAAACAACAACCTACTCCAGAAGAAAACTACGGTTGCTGGAGCAATTTTTGCCTCGCATTCTGGTGCATCCGCCGCGCTCGTCCTGTTGTTCCCACTGCTGCTCAGCTTGCTGCCTCGTAATGTTACTTTACCAAAGATGTTTCGATGTTTGCTATATCTCATTTGTACCGCATCATTCCTGATTGCGTGTTTTATCGATCTAATTGCTTGTACGGGTCTATATTGTTCTTTCTCTGCGTACATCAGGTTTCCTGCTGTTTCTCGCATGCGTGTCTGACATCTGGTGACGCTCGTTTTATTATAAACAATATCAAGTGGATGCTCTCCGTTTCGAGGTACCTGACAGGGCGCTTGTCATTTCACTTTGACATACTCGTCTGACTTAAGATCCATGAAACGCGCACGACGAATGCGGAGTAGCGCAGAGGATTGCCTTTGGCTCCGGGCCGCCATTAATTCATTAACCATTCCTGCAAAAATAACTTGGTATCATAATTCAGTAGCAGTAGGGTAACGCATTCTACGGTTTTACATCTACACACTCATCTTCATCGCTATCGTTGGGTGAGGATCGTACCCTTCAACCACAATGTCTTCCGAATCGAATCCGTCAATGTCAGTTATCTCCCTTCTGAATTTGACTTTTGGAAATGATTTTGGTTCGCGTTTGAGTTGTATTTCGAGGGCATCAACATGGTCGCGGTAAACATGCGCATCTCCAAGTTGGATGATGAGTTCGTGGGGTTTGGTCCCCGTAACGTGCGCAACCATGTGTGTTAGGAGCGCGTAAGACGCGATGTTGAAAGGGATGCCGAGCCCAAGGTCGGCTGAGCGTTGGTACATGAGACATGATAGGCGTTTAGGAGCATCGGGTGTAACGGGGAGATGCACATAGAATTGGCACATCATATGGCATGGTGGAAGCGCCATGAGCGGCATAGCTGAGGTATGAGATCAGCGCACGTAGGACCACCAAACTAAAGTAAACCGACCTGCTGGATTCCAAGCGCTCAAGATTATTCGTCGATCAGTCGGATCGTCTCTGATCTTCCGAATGCACTCCTTCAGCTGATCGACGCCCTGATCGGTGTAGTCTGTATCACAATCGACGTAGTTTGCGCCAAAATGTCTCCATTGAAACCCATACACGGGGCCAAGATCACCCTCCCGTCTGTGTCCCAAACCGCGCTTCTCGAGAAAATCTTTACTTCCGTTTCCGTCCCATATCTTGATGCCCTTCTGCGAGAGCACTCGGGCGTCCGTGCTGCCTCGGATAAACCAGAGCAGTTCTTCTACGATGGCGCGTAGGAACGTGCGTTTTGTTGTGAGGAGCGGGAGCGTGTCATCTGCGAGAGAGAAACGGAAAGAGGGGGGTGCAAAGATAGAGAGGGTGCCCGTGCCCGTGCGATCTGGGCGAACTTCGCCTATGTCTATGACACGGCGGACGAGGGAGAGATATTGATGCTCCTCGTGTGGCGTCGCGGGCTCTGTGCTGCCCATTGTCGAGTATGCCAGTGAGCGATAGGCAACACGCGTGTAGTGGGCAAAACGCGTCTGATTAATGTTTACAAGAATAGTCGATGCCAGCGGCAATTTCCAAAAAGGTACACGGGCAAACATAGTGCAACAAAATCGATTTGTATTTCAACAACGAAGCGATGTATCGACAAGGTGAAAGAAATCTGACGAGAGAAATGGGGCACAGGCGACTATTCAGAATCAGAAAACGAAGCAGTTTAAATGGTGAAGCCGATGATTACCTACTGGGGTGACTGTGTTGTTGGCAGATTCAGAACTCGGAGGTTTTGCCAACTGGTCTGGTAAAACTGGTCCACGGCAGAACAAAACCTGGCAGAACTCCAGAATTTTCGCGCATGCCAGTATGTTTTCTTCCATGATGGTCACGGTGACGATGCGTTTTTACACGTGCGTCAGGTTCGTCAGCGTGATCCCTCCGTTGTGAGTCACTATTATATACCATCCCGCGTTAGTATTGCGTGTTATTTCGCCACCCGCTCCACAGCGAAGTTGTCCGTGTCAAACAAGAGGAGATAAACCGACTGGTGGAGCGAAAATGCCTTAGGTGACGCTTCTCCTGGTTACGCAGGTAGCCAATTGCAAAGATGCGATCCTCACCATGAATTCAATTCAAGATTCATCGTCAGGATCGCACTTGGCATGGTAAAGCATTGGAAATGGAACACAATGATGGCGCAAAACTCTTGAATGACCTGCAGGTTTATAATCAGTCAGTAGCTCCATTCGCTGATGGCTTGCAGGCGGACGACCTTTGTTGGTGGAAAAACCTTCCAAATCGAAATTCAGTTGCTCAACTTTTAGTGTCGCTGGCAGAACTCGGGAGTTTTGCCAACCGGTCTGGCAAAACTGGTTGTGCCGATAACACAGTTCGAATTTATGCAATAGAAAATGAAATTCGACGTCCCCAAAGTAAGAATCTAAGATAGGTGTATGCTGGAGGACGCCCCTCGTGATCAATAATAATCTTCTTACATAATGATAGTTACCCATATATGGCCCTCCAAATTCAAATCATAGAACCTTCTCTTCAATGCCCTCAAATCTCCCAGAGTACAACCACGACAATCATGACGACAATCTCGCACGCACCTTCCAAATTCGAAATCTTCAATCAGGGTTCCAACGTCGATGCCCTTGTCAAGCTTGTCGAAGATATCTTGGCCGCATCCACGTAATCACTTTCCAAGTTTTGCTACTCGTCCTGGAGGCGGTCTCTGCCACCAACTAGCTACATCAAGAGATCGGCACCTCCGACTGTCTCGAAATCACCACCATGTCCACTTCTGCGCCATTGCTGGTGCTGGTGCCTACATGTTCGTTCCTAGGTGCGTCAGTGTCACCATTCTGGAACCGTACCAACAAGCCGTTTTATGTTTGGCGCACGATGCTGAGACGTTAGTACCCCAGTGGGTGATCGAATCCCTTCAAATTCCCCTGACTATTCCGAGGCGCTGGGTTCTCAACTACAGAAAGACTATTTTCCATTCGAGCTCACTCACCGCATTCATAGCACAATGCTTAATAGGGTACATGTATCCCCAATAACGCTTCATAATCTTAAAAGAACTCAAACGAGTTCTCATTCGTATGTTCCGCCTCGCCGAAAAAATGTAAAAGGCTTCATAAGCAAATAACCAACCCCAACTCATTAAGTATGCTTCGCATCATTAAGTCACGCGTACACGGATGTGCCTTGCACACCTTGGAATCATCTTGTGTGGATCCTATATAAGCTAGTTGGCGTGAGTTAGGTAGAAGATAAGGATGGGACGTTGAATGAGGCGAAAATACAAGGTCGCATTCCTGACTCAGGAACTGCAGCAGTATTGCACGACTCGTTGCTTGGGTGCGCGTTTGCCCAGGCAATGATAGGATGATTGTTGTCACACAGAGGGACTAGTGGATAACGTTGGTACAAGTGTGGGTGGGCAGTGGGGATGATATCGATATCCAGTGAATTGATTTAAACATTGTCAAGACCTGTAGCTTCTCACTTCGATAAATACTACATTGCCCAGACCTATAGTATCTTCTTTACAAGGGTCCACTTCGCAAACCACACAACTTACATAAATCAACACCAAGACAAAAGTGGGAATTGAATGAATGAAACCGAATTCTCCTGCTGCTCCTTGCATAGCACTAGATGACCATTAGCTCCGCCGAGCATCTCCCTCGCTATACACCGTTGCCAGTAGATATATGCACGCGCTCTTGGAAAGCAATTGAGGTCATGGCAGTTGCTGTGTTGGAATTGGTCACGAGCTTTGCGTTAGATTCCCGAACGCCAAGAATCAGGCGTGGTCCCAGCACAAACGATTGCACGGCCTCCAAAATCTGGAGCAAGCCAAAATAAATCTGAGCTTCCAGAGAATATTGGTCCTATAGAAATGATGAACCGTGGCCGCATGAAGAAGTAAGTGAAAGATTGACATACCGTTAAGAATGTAGGAGAGAACTGAGTAATGAGCTGGAGGAAAGAAACAGCAACAAAGCTACCACGTCCGATCCTTCAGAGGAAAATGAGACCACATTTACAATATGAGCTCACCTCGCGAAGTAAAGCACATGAGTTTTCATCAACACTGTGAAAGAGTCCGCAATAATCCCTCCTGCCGAAAGTTGCCGCAGTTCACGGAAGTGTTTAACAACAATCCAGACTGAAAGACATAGTGTGAGGACCTCCCACACAGTTCCGAGTATCCAAGCGATAGAATCCAGAAGCGCGAACTGTCCCGCAATTCCAACCGAGCACTGATAAGTACCGGAGAGAATGGCTTCCTCTGGTAGTCACCAATGAGAAGCATATTTTTGTCATCCAAAATTAAGCGTACCCCCTGACATATGCATCGTTATCAATACGGCGACCACTCCAAAGAAGATGCTGTTAACCAGGAAGGTGACAATGAGAAGTATCAGAATATTTCTGGATCGTTGATACATGGCATATAACCGAGTGATCATAATGACTTGGTGCATATTTCAGTCAAGTCAGTGTTACTGAGGTCTCGCAAAGCTCACCCCACAGCATTAAAAATACTAAAACACTCATCCAAATATCTATGACGCCGGACACAATAAAGCCTAACGAATCCAGTCAGTGATCAGCCTCGGGTGGCACACACTCCAAAGAGACTCACATCTGTCGCAGTATAGCACGGCAGTCATTAGTGAACCTTGAAGTTGGTAAGGAACCACACCCACTCCTACAGGGCACCCCGATTAATTGGAGGGGAATAGTAGGCATCTGTGCAGAAGACTCACTGTATCTGTCAGCGAGATGGTCGGAAGCTTGCCTGTATGCCGAGTTGGTCAGAAGAAACAAAAACATGGGTTGTACTGAGGAGACATACTTGGGATGGTCAGGCTGATTATGAGATGGACGATTAGTACAACACCAATTGTTTAGCCTTCCGAACATACGCAGCAGATAAGATTCCAAGGTAGCGCACCTAGGGTATTTTCAAGTCAGCACGACATGGCAACCGTGTCAAAAAAGCTACATACACCGAGATACATGACTGTCATTAGGGACCAGCGTTGCCTCTGTAATTAAGTGTATTTTCATCATGTTCCTCTGACATAAGACTTTGCTCACCCAAACCAATTCGATCTATAAAAACATTCTTAACGAGATGGCTGCTCCAGTCATAGCATTTACATACCTCTTGTCCGAATGTAAGCACTGAAAATACTTGTAAGATATCAGCAGTCCTTTGATATTATCATGCTCACCCCAATCATACATCACTATAATAACGGAGGCGACTACGAAACCGTAGTCAAGA